CTGTCTCTAGGAGGTCCGAGTTTTGCAGGAAATGCAGCTGCTCCAAGTGGCTGCCATGAATTACAGGCTTCGGCCTCTGGAGAAATTTGTCACTTGTTTCTCAAGAATGGAGCAGCTCAGTGAAAAGGAGAGGTGAGGGCCTGGCACATGGGCAGAGTGTGGGAGAATACTCTCCATTTTTTCTTTAATGTGGTCTGGCTCTGTCGCCCAGGCTGCACTGCAGTGTCACCATCTCTGCTCACTGCAACATCTGCCTCCTGGGCTCAAGCCCTTCCTCAGCCTCCCAAGCAGCTGGCACTACTGCTATCCACCACCGTGTCCGGTTGTTCTCCTGTTGTTGTTCTGGTACAGGTGGGGTTTCACGATGATGTCCAGGCTGGTCTCAAACTCCTGGCCTCAAGCAATCCACCCACCTCAGCCTCCCAAAGTACTGACAGTAAAGGTGTCAGCCACCCCACCTGGCCTAGAGGAGGCTCTCCTGTGGACAGCTGCAGAGAGCCTATGGCCATGACTCCACCGCCAGCATCAAGCCCTGTTGCATGGGGACTGCTGGGGACCCAGGATTCCAGCTGGGCAGGCAATGAGAAGGGACCTGATGTGTGGCTCATGGTGGCCTCACAGCTGCCTCTCTCTCCTGTAGCTACAAGCTGTCCTGTCAGCTGGAGCCCGAATCCCAGTAGGCTGGAAACATCCTGCAATGGCTGGGACCCTATTGGGATGCTGGCCAGAACAACGGCTCTGCATCATCCTTCACCCAGACCCGAGACACCAGGAAACCACATCTAGGTGGCTGGCAGCTCAGCTACATCTTGACCCCGCTCCTCAATACCAGCTGCTCCTGCCGGCCAGGGTCAGGCCATGGGACTTTTGCATGTCAGGCAGGAAACCATTTTATGTTTATTTTCTTTAATGTATAAGTAACGGTTTTTTTCTTAGCTTTCGTTAAAATAAAATTTTAAAACACTATTCAGAATGTTCTATAGTTGTTGGAATGAGAACAGTAACTCCAGTGCAGTAACCGTATACCAGTCTTTAGGATTCATCGTCTAGCATGTCAAATTGAGGCTATGGCTGAACAAGTCATGGAATAGCGTTCGCGTTACACCTGCCAACTCTTTAATGTTTTCCTTCTTTATTCAAATTAATTATTGCTAACTCTGTTTAAGGAAAAAAAAATAAAACAAACAAACAAAAAAACACTGAAAAACCACAGTATGTCACCCAATCTATGTCACTTGTTCTACTGACCAGTTACTCTCAAACTTAAATTCTAGTTAAATTCAAGTTCCACTGGGTTACTCTACTTTTTTAAGTTGTAAATATTGAATGAATCACTTAAATATTTACTGAAGGGCTGGAGATGGGAGGTATTTATGCCAGTGGTAGGGCTGGCCTTCTCCAGAAGTCCTGTGCACAAGGGAGCTGGCCACGAGTCTCCAGGAAATACAGATAAACTTTTCCCACTATGGATCTTCCCAGACTTTCTGACACCTCTCCCCTAAGGGAACATCAAGGAAGGAGAGAATTGTTTGAACCCAATATCTAAAGGATGTCCCACAGCTTAATTTGAACACAAGAACACAAGCCCCATTGTGGTATATCAGACAAAAACAAGTCAAAGAAATCAACATTTCAGGGTCTGAAATATGATACCCCCAAATCAACACAAAATAAACACTTCAATCCAGTCCTGGAGCCACAAAGCTCCTATAAGAAAAGTGGGAGTTTATTTCAGCAAAACTTGTGTCTATGCATGCAGTTTGCAAAAAAGAAAGAAAACAAAAGCAAAAATTATCTATGGCAGCAAACCCTTAGGCCATGCAATTGATTTGGCATTACTTTTTCTTTCTTATTTTTTGTTCTTTTTGGATGGGACACAAAAATCACTGCTAACAAATATAAATACAAACACATGGGACTATACATCATTTGAGAGCTTCTGCATGGGAAAGAGAAACAATGAACCATTAAAGAAGGCATCCTGATGAGTTCATGTCCTTTGTAGGGACATGGATGAAGCTGGAAACCATCATTCTCAGCAAACTATTGCAAGAACAGAAAACCAAACACCGCATGTTCTCACTCATAGGTGGGAATTGAACAGTGAGAACACTTGGACACAGGAAGGGGAACATCACACACTGGGGCCTGTGGTGGGTCCGGGGGTTGGGGGAGGGATAGAATAGGAGATATACCTAATGTAAATGATGAGTTAATGGGTGCAACACACCAACGTGGCACATGTATGCATATGTAACAAACCTGCACATTGTGCACATGTACCCTAGAACATAAGGTGTAATAATAATAAAAAAAGGAAGGCATCCTACGCATTGAAAGAAAGTTCAGCAGAAACATATCTGTGAAAGGGGTTGCAATCTAACATGTAGGAGAAACTAACACTACTCTGGGAAAATGAACAAAATCTAATACCCAAGCTAAAACTGGGCAAAGAACCTCAACAGGCACATCTGAAAAGTAACCACGAAATTGACTGACAGGTCAAAGAGAAGCTGCTCAGCTTCACTAATCATCACACACATGTCTAGGTGCAAACAACACTCAGATACCTCTCTAATTAGGATGAAACTTACCAAAAACAAGAAAAAACCCATACATTCACAGGCAGTGGCCAATGTAGAAGTGCAGAAAAAGAGATTTTATACACTATTGGTGGGAATGTATATTACCATACACACGAAGGAAAACAGTTCAAGGTGCCTTGATTAAACATTTTACAACTACCCGTTCACCCAGGAATACCACCACTGGTTACACACAGAAAGCGCATGAAATCTGTTATGTTGAAGAGATATCGGCCTTCTTATGGCAATTGAAGCACTATGCACAATAACGAAGGTATCCAATCAACCTACCTGTTCATGCACAGATAAAGGGATAAAGAAACTGCGGTACACAATGGAATCCTCCTCGGCCATAGAAATTCATGAAACCATGTCATCTGCAACAACGTACAGAAACCTGGAGGACATGATCTTCCATGCAATGAGCCAGGAAGAGAGAAATAAACACGGCATGATTCCATGCCTATGAGAATGAGATCAACTTTGTCTCTAAAGGACTTTATCTCCTAGTAGAACATTTCATAGTATTGAAGAGAGCCTGGGGGTTGGGGAGGCAGCACAGGAACTGGGAAATGGATGCCATGTTACACTCAGATGACAGGAATAAATTCAGAGGTTCTACTCCACAGCAGGATGTCTAGAGTTAACTGTATCCTACCATATTTTCCAAAAAAGGCTGAAAAGAGGGATTCTGAATATTGTGACCACAGAGAACTAATAAATAATAACTACACAAGGTAACAGAGATTGTCAGTCAATCCCTTGCTTTCATCATTACACAAGGTACATATGCATGGATTAAAATGTCCCACTCTACTCTTTAATTGTATAACTTTACTAGAGAGCAAATTGGTTTTAAGGACATAGAAATAAACAATGCTGAAGTTCATGTGAGACCAGGAAATGCCCTGCATTTCCAAAGAAATTCTGAGAAATCCAAACTACATTGGATGCATAACACTCCCTGATGTGAAATTGCACTCAAACTCTAGGGACCTGCTTCCACATGGATGAGTGGAAGAGAACAGAGAACCTGTAAACCCACACACTTCATACCACCTGATGCTGGATGAAATACACAATGATGAGTAATGGGGAAAGAACTCCCTTTTCAATAGTCTTGGGATAAATGGTGAACCATATGCAGAAGAGTAAGTAACACTAGGCATCTACTTCTCACCATGTATCAAAGTTCACTCAGATGAATGAAAGATGTAAATGGAAGACCTCAAAGTACAAAAATCCTACAAGAGACCCTAGGAAATACCCTTCTTGACATCAGCTTTGACAAAGCATTTATATGCCTAAGACCCCACATGACACTGCAACAACAGCAATAATCGACATGTGGGACCTAATACACTAAAGAGCCACCACACAACACAAGAAATTACCCACAGAGTAGACAGACGACATACAAGATGAGAGAAAACGTTCCCAAACTATGCACCAGACCAAGTTCTAATATCCAGAATCTACCTTAAAGACCTTACACAAATCAATTAGCAAAACCACCCTCATAATTAATAGGCAATGGATATAAACACAGACTTCTCAAAAGATGATGATGAGCAACCAACGAATTGAAAATATGCTCAACCTAATTATCAGAGAAATATAAATCAAAAGCACAATGAGATATATCTCACGCTGGTCAGAATGGGGATAACGTAGTTTAAAAAAAAAAGACACTGACGAGGCAGCAGAGAAACAGGACACTGGTCCACTTTTGGTGAAAATGCAAAGTAGTTCAGACACCATGGAAAGCACTTTGGAGAGATTGCTCAAAGAATTTGAACTAGAACTACCATCTGACCCAGCAATCCCACCACTGGGGTATACACAGAGGAAAATAAATCCTTCTCTCCAAAACACACATGCACACAAATGGTCATGGCAGCAGTATTTACAATGGCAAACACATGAAATCAGTCTAGGTACCCATCAACAGTGGATCAGAAAAGGAAAATGTGGTACATATATACCACAAAAAACTAGGCTGCCATTAAAAAAAAAAAGAGAGAAGGAAATCATGTCCTTGGCAGCAACATGAAAGGAGCTGGAGGCCATTATCTAAAGAGAAATAAGGAAAAAACAGAACACCAAATACCACATGTTCTCGCTTATAAGGTGGAGCTAACATTGAATACACCCTACCGTAAAAGTGAGAACAACAGACACTGGTGACTACCCGATGAAAAAGGATGAAGGCATGAGGTATGTGCCGAAGACCTACCTGGTGGGTACACCCACTGCCTGCATGATAAGGTTGCTTGGACCCCAAGTCTCAGTGTCATGGAATATACCAAAGACAGTAACTAATCTGCATTTGTACCCTTTAGTCTATAATAAACATAGAAATTATGTCACAAAATACAAACTTAGAAGTTAAAACCATGAATGAAAAACACAAACTTTTATAATTATCCAAACAATCTTTTATTGGCATAAACTAAGAAAGTGGACAGAATGAGTAAACCAAATATTCAACCCCAATTTACATGTAGTGAACACGTTTTTCAAAAGAACACCAAAAAGATGCAATTGGAAAAAAAAAAAAAGCCTGTTCAATAGATGATTTTGAGCAAACTGAATATTCACATACAAAACACTGAAATAGGACCCTTATTTCACGCAACACAAAAATCAAAGCAAAATACATTAAAGACCTAAAACTCAATTCTGAAACCACAAAACTCTTACAAGAAAACATAGGGTGTGCATTATTTTAGAAAAGAAATCCATACATGTAGGCTGCTAAAGGTATTTAAAAAACATTAAACCAAAGGAAACACTCCAAGAAAACACCGATAGACAAGGTAATGGATTGGTATTTTCACTGAAAAGCTGGAGACCCGGTTCCACAGAACAGTGGAACACATTAGAAGACCCAGATATAAACCTGCACACCTGAAACCATCGATATTTGAAAAAAAAAATCAACAAAAATAAGCAATGGAGAAAGGACTCCCTATCAGCAAGTGGTGCTGAGATAAGTGACCTAGCTAGATGTTGAAGAAATAACACTGGGCCCCTATGTCTCACCATGTACAGAAAGCAACTCAAAAAGAATCAAAGATTGAAATGTAAAATGCTGGGCTGGACACAGTGGCTCATTCCTGGAATCCAAGCACTCTGGGAGGTCGAAGCAGGCGGATGACTTGAGGTCCTGGAGTTTGAGACCACCCTGGCCGACATGGTGAAGCCGATGTCTAAGAAAAAACCAAAAGTTAGCTGGGCGTGGTGGCACGTGCCTGTACTCCCAGCTACTCAGGAGAATGAGGCAGAAGATTCACTTGAACCCAGAACTGGAAGGTGCAGTGAGCCAAGATCACTCCATTGCATTCCAGCCTGTATGAGAGAGAGAGACTTGGTCTGTAAATAAATACATAAATACATAAAAATCCAATACCTGAAACTATTTTTAAAAAATCCTGCATGAGAATCTAGCAAATACCCTTCTTGACAGAGGCTTTGGCAAAGCATTTATATGTCAAGTCCCCAAAAGCAATGGCAACAAAAACAATTACTGATAAGTGGGACCTAAAACACAAAAGAGCTGCTGCACAGAACAAGAAACAACCACAGAGTCAGCACACAGCCTATAGAATGAGGGAAAACATTCCCCAAGTACGCATCTGAAAAACATCTAATATCTACGATTTACCATAAAGACCTTAAACAAATAAAATCAGAAAAAAAAAAAGTTATAAAAGGGCAAGGAACATGAACACTTAAAAGGAGGTGTACCAGTAACTAACGAGCATGAAAACATGTTCAATCTCACTGATCATCAGAGAAATGCAAATCAGAAACATACTGAGATAACATCTACACTGGTCAGAATGGCAATTATGACACACAGTCCACAACAACAGAGGCTGCTGGGGCAGATGAGCAAAGAAATGCAGGTCCACTCTTGGGGCAAATGCAAACTAGTTCAGATCCCCTGGGGAGCAGTGTGGACATTTCTCAAAGAACCTAAAAGAGAACTACCACCCAACGCTGCAACCCCACTCCTAAGGATCTATAAAAAGGAAAATCCTTCCATCCAAAACTCACATACACTCCTATGTTCACGGCAGTACTACTCACAATCGTAAAGACATGAATCAGCCTTGGTGCCCATCAGCAGTGGGTCAGAGAAAGGAAATGTGGTACATACACACCACAGAACACTACACAGTCATAAAACACAAATACATGCTCTTACCAGAAACCTGGACAGACCCATAGGCCATTATGAACAAAAGGCAAGAACAGAAAACCAAAATTTTCAAAACACCTACAAAGGTTAGTTGTGAATGTTCTCTCCACAGAGAAATCATAACTCTGGAGCTCACGGAGGTGCCAGACACTGCAACTTCATTGTGATGCTACCTTTACACAGATCAAATTGTCCCTTGCACCCGCTGGTTATACACACCTACTCTACAGCCATGAAACTGCCGTCCCATTTTGGTAACGCTCATTCTCACTAGAGTGAGATGATATCTGAGTGTGGTTTTGATTGACTTCTTGTGAGGATCAGTAATGTTGATTCAGAATCTTTTACCTGTGCATCCTTCTCAGGTCTTCAGGTTCTTTGCCCAGTCTTACACATCAAATTGAAACAAGTTCATGATAACTTGGCAAACATCTCTAACCACAGCAAAATGTAAATCAAAACCACACTTAGATATTGGTAACAGGTACGGAGTGACACTGAGACACAATGAATCTGTTCTGGTGTTCTATTGCACAGCAGGGTGACTAGGTGACTAGGGTCAACAGAATCTAGAAAATTTTTTCAAAATCAGCTGGAAATTACGGTTCTGAATATTCTCTCCACAGAGAAATAATAATGATGGAAGGTCACAGAGATGCCAGATATGATGATTTGATCATGATACTACACATACATATGTCAAAATGTCCCTTGCACCCTTGGGTTGTGTGTGTGTGGGTGAATGTATATACACACACACACACACACACACACACACACACACACACACACACACTACAGAAACAAAACTGCCATCAAATGTTGCTAGTATTCATTCTAACTGGAGTGAGATGAAATCTGAGTGTGATTTTCACTTACACTTTTGTGTGCATCAGCGATGGTGAGAATCTTCTCTTTGACCTGTGCATCAACCTCATGTCTTCAGGTCCTCTGCCCAGTCCTACACAACAAATTAAAAACAAATTCACAATAACATAGCAAGTACCACTTATCACACACACACAAAAATAAAAAACACACTCAAGATTCCATCTCACTCTACATGCAACAGATGCTACAAGAAAACAGTTAAAACATATGAAAACACAATCCAAACAAGGTGTGGATTTCCAGAGGAGGCACTTGTCTCCACATGTGGCAGGAAATGATAAACTAGTATGCACACTAAAGAAACCACTTGGATGTTCCTTGAAATCCTAAAACTACAACTACCATTTTCTCCAGCAATTCTATTCCTAGGTATATACACAGAGGACATGATCAGGACATGGAAGAGATTATCTGTCATCCCAGGTGGCATTCAGCCCTATGCTCAAAAGCCAAGAAAAGAAATCAGCCTACCTGTCCATCCACAGATGAAAGGATGAAGAATCTCTGGTACACAGACAGGATGGAATACTTTTATGCCATCAAAATTCATGGAATCCTATCATTTCCAGCAACATGGCTGCACCTGCAGATATTATGTTCAATCACATCATAAAGGCAGACAAAGACCAAGCCCGCATGTTCTCACTCATGTGGGAGCTGAAAACTTTAACTCACTGAAGGTGAAAATACAGTAGTGGTCACCACAGACTAGGTGGAGGACAGGACCTCAAGGATTGGCAATAGGTACACAGAGAGTTACAGGAGAGGAATACATTCCGGTATTCCACTCCAAAGCAGGGCGATGATACTTAACAATATGGTTATGCCGTTTTCAAAATAGCTACCAAGGAGGATACTGAATGTTCACACATCGAAGATATCAAACTTACACGTGGTCACAAGCATGGGAAACTCCCGGATTTTATCCATACTCAAGGTATACAAACAAGTATCACAATGTCCCAATGCACCCCTAATTCTGGACATGAAGTGTAAAACCAACGTTTTATGAAATGTTAACAATACACGGCTAAATGTTCACATGGATCCACTGAAGACCCAAGGAACCTGAATATGCAAAGCAATTCTAGGGAATACAAACTCAATTAGAGGCCACACACTCCCCAATTTCAAATTACATGTAACACCTCCACTCATCCAAAGACTACAGTAGTAGCATAAAAATGAATCCATGAACCTAGGGACTTAAGAGAATCTAAACACACACCTGCAGTCAACACATTCTTTTTCAAAGAATGCCTAGAAGATGCAATGAGGCCATGTGCTGTGGCTCACACCAGTACTTCCAGCAGTTTCAGAGACCGAGTTGGGTGGACCTCTTGAGGTCAGGAGTTTCAGACCAGCTTCGCCAAAATGGTGAAATCCTATCTCTAGTAAAAATACAAAAGATATTAGTCAGGTGTGGTGGTGCACAGCAGCAATCCCAGCCACTTGGGAAGATGAGGCAGGAGAATCACTCGAAGCAAGGAGGCGGAGGTGGCAGAGAGCTGAGATCTCACCACTGCACTCCAGTCTGGGTGACAGCATGATTGGGACTGTGTCCTCAAGGGGAAAAAGGATGAGATGAGGAGTCAGCAGTCTGTTCAATTGAGCAGTCTGAAATGACTGGATAGCCACATACAAAAGAATGAAATAAGACGTTGACGTTATACAATACACAAACATAAACTCAAAATACATTAAACCCTAAACACAAGCCCTAAAAGCATAAAACTGCTACAGGAAAACACAGAGTGAGCTTAAGTTGAGGAAAACCTGAATCTAAGCTCACAGGATATAAAAGCAAACAACAGACAAAAGAGAAAAATAGAAAAAAAAAAAAGCCACTTCCAACAACAGAAGTCAAAAACTCTAGTTTTTGTTATTGACTTTACCTTACAAAAAAAATCACTGGTAGTCAGGCATGGTGGCTCACACCTGTAAACCCAGGACTTTGGGAGGCTGAGGTGGGTGGATCACCTGAGGTCAGGAGTTCGAGACCAGCCAGGCCAACATGGTGAAACCCCTTATCTACATACAAAAATTAGATGGGCGTGGTGACAGTTGCCTATAATCCCAGCTACTCAGGAGGCTGAGGCAGGAGAATCACTTGAACCCAGGAGGCAGAGGTTGCAGTGAGCCAAGATTGCACCACTGCACTCCAGTCTGGGCAACAAAGTGAGATACTGTCTCAAAAAAAAAAAAGAAGACGTTCAAGTGATCAACCAACATGAAAAAATGCACAACCTCAGTGCAATGCAACTCCCAAACACAATAAGATATCATCTCATGTTGGTCACAATGGGTAATTTTCCAAAGTCAAAACAACATGCTGGCGAGGCAGCAAAGGAAAGGGAATGCCGCTACACTCTTGGTCAATGTGAAAACTAGTTCACACTGTGGAAACCAGTTGAGAGATTCTCAAAAAACTTAAAACAGGCCGGGCGCGGTGGCTCAAGCCTGTAATCCCAGCACTTTGGGAAGCCGAGATGGGTGGATCACGAGGTCAGGAGATCGAGACCATCCTGGCTAACACGGTGAAACCCCGTCTCTACTAAAAAATACAAAAAACTAGCTGGGCGAGGTGGCGGGCGTTTGTGTTCCCAGCTACTCGGGAGGCTGAGGCAGGAGAATGGCATAAACCCAGAAGGCAGAGCTTGCAGTCAGCTGAGATCTGGCCACTGCACTCCAGCCCGGGCAACAGAGCCAGACTCCTTCTCAAAAAAAAAAAAAAAAAAAAAAAACTTAAAACAGAACTACCATCAGACCCAGCAATTCCATGACACTTAGTATCTACCCAAAGACAATAAATCCTTCTATCAAAAAGACACATGCTGTCCCGCATTCATGGCCATGCCATTCACAAGAACAAAGATGTGGAAACACCCTAGCTGACCAGCAACAGTGGATTTGAGTTTTTGTTTTGTTTTTTTTTTTAATGTGGTGCATACACATCACAAAATACTACACAGCCATAAGAAGAACACACAATCATGTCCTAAGCAGCATGGATAGACCTGGGGCTTATTATGTTTAGCAAACCAAGGCAAGAACAGCAATCCAAATACTCAAAAAAAAGAAAAAAAAAGAAACAAACAAACAAAAAGTCTAGAACCTGAGTGATGAATGTCAACTTACAGAACAAAACCAAAGCCAAATTTTTGAAGACAGGAAATAGTGTGATACTATCTTTTGTGGGAAGTCTTGGCTTCCCCCAAAATTAGAGAACTGGGGAGAAAGAAGCCTCAGCTCAGAATCTGTGACTGGGTTGGAAGTGGAGGCTGGAAATGTGCTCAAGGTCAAACTTTCCTCCTCCCTTCAAAGGAGCCTGGAGTTTTACCAATGAGCCTAGAGTGAATATTCACCCCACCATCCACCCCGGGAGATCCCTTTAAACCGGGAGCGCACAGTGAGGACAGAAACATGAATGTGCACTAACAAGTCCTGAAAGTTCAGAGGGTGATTCTCGATTTCCCCGTGGCACACAGCAGAAGAACTCTGTCTCTAGGTTCCAGGAAATGCCTGTGAGAGAGCTGTGTCCCCCAGATTCCCTTCATCACACATGACACTCAGTGCTTAAGCCTACACCCCTTGTGACCGATCCCAAGGAGTGTTGACTAATCTAAACCAAAGGCTCTGATGTTCCACAGGAAGAAAAGAGCAGGTGGACTGCAAAGAGAATCTCTCATGAACGCAGCACCCTCATAGCCCATACAGACAGTTCTTACCATGATGTCAAGAAACTGAAATCAACAAGCCAGACCTCACACACATTTCCATTTTCCTTCTGATTTCATACCCCCTCCTTCAGCCCCTCCTCACAATCAGCAGGGATAACCTGGAGGCTCCTGGGAACCTTTTCCCATTGGGATTTTCCTGGCACGTAGTTCCCTACCTGGACGAGTCTCCTCGTCACTAATGCTCTCCAGCGTCAAGTCTTTAGAAAGAAAAACACCAGGATAAGTCATTAGAGAGTGTGACTCACCAACTCCTCCTATGTTAGCTGAAGCTGAATGGTGGGCTTTTCTCCCACCCCAGGCTGCTTCTTACTTGATCCCCTCATCTTTCTTCTGGATTGACAAACCTTCCTACAGCTTCTTGGGCCAGAGTTCTATACTGGAAAAATCACTTTCAGGAGAATCCCAAGTCTCTTTCCCAGCAGGAACCCAGAATCAGGTTTCTATACAATGAAGCCAGCAAGTTTTTCCCTCGGGAAGTGAGTTATTTCATAGTACATACCGTTTCCTTTCCAAGCTCTTATCTGCAATTATATAAAAGAAAACATTATGAGAATCAGATTCTGCTGTGCGCTTCACATAGCTCTGTTATTCTCTTGACAATGATAAAAAACCAGAAGGCAGTACAGTGATTGAGCCATGGGTCAAAATCCCCAAAGACTAGCACAGAGGATAGCTATAGAAAAATCAGACCTCTATTCACAGAATTTACCTTTAAATTTAATTTGATATGCAAACGCACAATGCTTCATCCAAGGAGGAAAACTGATATTGTGGAAAACGCCTCAGTATTCCAGTTGATATTGGATACTGTCATTTAAAAGCAGCATAGCATGTATCAGTTGGGAAGACACATTCACTGAATTCCAGCCCCACAAAGACAATAGTGTACAGTGTACATAATGTACATTGCCAGGTTTTCAAATCAAAATTAATTGAGAAGTAAAGAATCAGGAAAGCAACATTGATGTAGAAGACAAAAAAGGGGGATCTTACCTGGACATCATCATCATCATCACAATCAACATCACCATCATCATCATCATCTTCATCTTCGCATTGTGGTGAGCATCTTAAAAACAGGCCGTCCTCAGAACGAGCTGGAAGGACACAGAGGAAAGATCAGTGCACCGGTGGTTGGTGACTGTGAGTCACTCAGGGAGCTTTGCTGGATGTGGTGTATGGAGGTGGTTGATATACAAGAATGGACTGAGTTGATACTGGGCTATTCCCCTGAGTGGAAGATGGATGGCAGAGGACGGGAGCTGGAAAGACATGAGACATGGAGACCTTGGCTTCGTACTAGAGGCATCGGGCAGCAACACAAAACAATCAACTCAAAATGGAACTAAAATGCACACTGAGGGTCAATGGAAGAGTGCTTTCCTGCCTCCCAAATGTTTTGAAACTCTTCTAAACAAACAGCCGTTTCTTAGTGTATTCAAGACCGTGTCAGTACACTAGAATCTAATCATGCTGATACTACAATTAGCATCTGTTTTAAAGGATTTATTACTTGATTAAAAGCCTATTTTATGGGTGAAATGGACTCAATTTTACCCAAATTACTCTATTCTATTAATCACACATTCTTTTTCATAGAGATCATTTAAAATTTCAATATTAAAACGCTACAATTAAAAATAGTTATGATTTCCTCTTTGTAAGTCTTCTTCTGGAACGACTTCTACACACCCTTTTGGGGCCCTGTCATCAGGGGCTTCAGCACCTCCTGTGTGACTCTCCCTGGGGAGATTCCCTAAAAATCAAGCTTCATTCAAACAGACCAAGCTCACACAGCCAGCTCTACCTACACCAGTGAAGCTGAGAGACGTGACTTTGACCACTTTCTGCCATGAAGATAAGTTTAAAAGTTCAAATACACATTATCTACTGAAATGAGGAAATGTATACCAATAGAAATGAACAAATTCATGAAAAAATGTACATGAGTATGGGGGTGATTTTTGGTTAACTAGTTTACTTAAAAATTATTTTTTTGGCCGAGTACTCTGGCTCACACCTGTAATCCCAGCACTTTGGGAGACTAAGGCAGGTGGATGACCTGAGGTCAGGAGGTCATGACCAGCCTGGCCAAAATGGTGAAACCCGATTTCTACTAAAAATACAAAAAGTTAGCCAGGCATGGTGGTGAGTGCCTGTAATCCCAGCTACTCAGGAGTCTCAGGCAGGAGAATTGCTTGAACCTGGGAGGCAGACGTTACAGTGAGCCGAGATCATGCCATTGCACTCCAGCCTGGGCAAGAAAAGTGAACCTCCATATCTCTCTCTCTCTCTCTCTCTCTCCCCCCCGTCTCTCTCTCTCTCTCTCTCTCTCTCTCTCTCTCTTTCTCTCTCTCTCTCTCTCTCTCTATATATATATATATATATGATGCCTATTCATTAAGACATACAAAATATTGGTATAGGAAATCAAAAATTTTTATTAGTCATGTTAAATCTAACTTATCAGCTGTCAACATGAAGATCCTAGGAAACAAGGAAGGTACAAATAAGTGGAAAGGCATCCTGTATTCATGGATAGGAAGACTAAACCTGACTAACACATAATACTACAGACATGATCTACAGACTCACAACAATTACTATCAAACTGGTAACAGCCATCTGTGCAGAAATGGAAAAGATAATCCTACAATTTTAAGGAATTTTATGTGCCTTATGTAACCATGATGACGTTAAAAAAATAGTGTTAGAGGATGCAGGTTCATGAGATTGAAATACACACACACACACACACATACACAAAATACAGAAATACAGAGAGTATGCTTCTAGCGTAGGGGCACTCATAAGTTTCACAGATATACAGAGCCCTGAATTAAATGCACACATATACAGTAAATTGATCTTCAACAAAGGTGTCAAAAATACACAATGGGGGGAAAGGAAAGCCTCTTCAACAAATGATGGTAAAACTGCATATTCTCATTCAAATGAAGAAATAGAATGCTGACAGTGTGCTCAAGGTTGTGCTTCTCCCTCCATTTCCAAGGCACTGGAGCTTTTGCACTGAGCCCAGATTGAATTTTCATTCTGTCCTCCATGCCCAGGAAGAGCTCTTGATACCAGAGGTAAGCAGGGAAAAACAGACAAATGAGTGTGCTGCCAGGAAACCTAACAGTTCATAAGGTGAGGATCAATCTCTCCTATGCCTCTGGGCACACCACAGAAGAATTTTGTCTCCAGCATTAAGTAACTGCCTCTGATAGAACTCTGTCCTAAACTAAAGGCTTTGAGATTTTGCAGTGGCAGAGGCAGGAAAGAGCAGGTGTTCTAGAAAGATCATCTTTAAATAATAAATAAGAAGAGGTGATCAAAAACACAGGATACTCAAAATCTCATCAACTCAAAAGAACAAACTTCACTTACGTTTACTTTTTCTTTTTCTCTTTCTACACCCTCCCTCAGCCTCCCAAGCAGCAGGTATAACATGAAGGCTCCTGGAAATGCTGTGTTATTAGACTACACGTGAAATCTTCTTACCTACCTAGAAAGGTATCCTCTTCCCTGCTGAGATTCTCCAGAATCCAATCTTTAGAACCACCAACATCAGGATAAGTCAGGGAGAGGTGCACTCACTTCTCCTCCTCCAGGTGAAGACAAACTGGCTCACAAAAAATCTCCTGGTTGGTCCTCTGGGTTCACACACATTTCTACAGCCCCTCTGGTCATACCTATACACTTGCAAAATCATTTGCTCTCACCAGATCCCCAATATTTTTTAACAGGAACCCAGATTAAGGTTTCTATATTTTAAAGCCAGCAAGTTTGTTTCTCAGAAAGTGAGTTAGTTCAAGGTACGTAACCAGGACAGGTGATGGTAAAATCTGCAACGAGACAAAAGAAGATGCCATGAGGATCAGATCAATTCTGCTGCACCCCTTACACAGATCTGTGAGTCTCTTGATGACTTCAGAAAACTACCTGTGAAACAGTGGTGAGTCAAAGTCAAAGTCAAAGGCCAAACATTCTAGAATAGAGGACACTCATGGAAAAGACAAGAGCTTTTCCCACAAAATTTATCCTTGACGTTGATTTAGGTTGGTAAATGCACAATGCCTAATCCGAGGAGAAAAACTGGTGTGGAGGAAAACGTCTCTGCATTACAGTTGGTGATGGATGCTGTCCTTCAAAAACATCATAGTGTGTCGTGTATTAGATGAAAGGAAACTGCCACTGAACTCCATCCTCACAAAGAGAATAGTGTGTGTCGTACATAATGTGCCTTGTCATATTTTTATATCAAAATTATTGAGAAGGAAAGAAATCAGATGAAGGAAATAATGTATACAGTGGTCCATTTTTAACACAAAGTGCCTTGAACTGGTTTAGGTCAGCAAAGGACAGAAGAAATAGGATATGCCAGGCTCCTGATTGGATGGGCAATACCTGCTCACTGGGGCCCCTCTCCTCCCCATTTAGTAGCCCTCACTTCAACCAAAGAAGATTAGTCTAAGATGAAAGTTTACTAGCCTGGAAAATAGCTCGTTTTGTCTGTTCTTCTCAGCCTGGCCAGCTACTTAGGTCATAAGTCAAATACTTGAAGTGCCCCTGAGCTGACTAGGGTAGCAATGCATTGTGGGCTGCAACAAAATGCAGTAAGACAACTCTAGAAAAATACCTAAAGTCTCTCCCCAAAAATCAATAGGCAACACCTGGGAAGATTGTGACCCCACAGTTCTCAGCCTATGAGGAACCAGGGGAGGGACCTGCACACTAGGGGATAAATTGCTTGTGGAAAGTGTGCTGGGTGTGTCTGCCCATCAGACACCGGGTCTTGCAACACTGTCATTAAAAGTCTCACTTTCTGCCAGGTGGAGTGGCTCACACCTGTAATCCCAACACTTTGGGAAGCTGAGGTGGGCAGATTACCTGAGGTCCGGAGTTCGAGACCAGTCTGGCCAACATGCTGAAACACCATCTCCACTAACAATACAAAAATTAGCTGGGCATGGGGACACATGCGTGTAATCCCAGCTACTCGGGAGGTTGTGGCAGGAGAATTCATTGAGCCCAGGAGATGGAGCTGAGATTGCACCACTGCACTCCAGCCTGGCCAACTGAGCGAGACTCTGTCTCAAAAGGACAAAAAAAAAAAAAAAAAAAAAAGGAAAGAAAATCTCACTCTTGCTGTTTTTCAGCTCCCTGAGTCCATTCTTCGGGTTTGGACTGGTGAGTTTGTTTCTCACATCAGAAAACCAACATTTCCTTAGAAGACAAAGAAAGGTGTTCTTACCTGGACATCATCATCACCACCATCATCATCATCATCATCACCCCAGTCATCATCTTCACTAGGTGGTAGGCATACTAAACTCAGGTTGTCCATAGAAAAAGCTGGAAGGACACAAGAAAGATCAGTGCACCGATGGTTGGTGACTGTGAGTCACTCAGGGAGCTTTTCTGGATGTGGTGTATGGAGATGGTTGATTAACAAGCATGGACTGAGTTGATGCTGGGCTATTCCCCTGAGTGGAAGAGGGATGGCAAAGGAGGGGATCAGGAAAGACATGAGACATGGAGGCCTTGGCCTTGTACTAAAGACATCATGCAGCAACACAAAACAGTCAACCCAAAATGGAAATAAAGCACACACTAAGGGTCAATGGAAGAGTGCCTTCCTCTGTCTCAAATGTTTTGAAACTCTACGAAACAAACAGCATTTTCTTAACGTATTCAAGACTGTGTAAGTACATTAGCACCCAATTATGCTGGTACTACATCTAGCATCTGTTTTAAAGGATTAATTACTTAATTTATTGGTGAAAAGGATTCAATTTTACCCAAATTACTCTGTTCTACTGATCACACAGTTTTGTTTGTTTGTTTCTTTGTTCATTTGTCAGTTTGTTTGTTTCTGAAACGGAGACTCACTCTGTCATCCAGGCTGGAGTACTGTGGCACGATATTGGCTCACTGCAAGCTCCACCTCCCGGGTTCATACTATTCTCCTACTACAGACTCTGGAGTAGCTGGGACTACAGGCACCCGCCACCACGCCTGGCTAATTTTTTTTGTATTTTCAGTAAAGACGGGATTTCACCATGTTAGCCAGGATGGTCTCCATCTCCTGACCTCATAATCTGCCCACCTCAGCCTCCCAAAGTGCTGGGATTACAGGCATGAGTCACTACACCAGATGGATCACAATTTCTTTTTCATAGAGGTCGTTTTAAAAATTGAGTATTAAAATGCTAAAATTAAAAATAGTCATGATTTCCTCTTTGTAAGTCTTCTTCTGGAACCATGGTGTGTGCACACAATTTTTTGGGTTCCTGTGATCAAGGGCTTCAGCAGCTCTGTGTCGCTCTCCCTCAGGAGATTCCCTAAAGATCAGGCTTCATTCAAACAGGCCAAGCTCACACAGCCTGTGCAACCTACACCAGTGAAGCTGAGAGACATGACTCTAAAAACTTTCTGCCATGAGGATAAGTTTCCCGGTTCAAATATACATGAGCTACTGAAATGAGGAAATGTATACCAATAGTAAATGAGCAAATTCATGAAAAAATGTCCCTGAGTATGGGGGTGATTTTTGGTTAACTAGCATACATAATATTTTTTATTTGATGCATAATCATTCAGACAGACAAAATATTGGCAAAAGATACAAATTTGGCCAGGCATAGTGGCTCATGCTTGTAATCCTAGCACTTAGGGAGGCCAAGGTGGGTGGATCATGAGGTCAAGAGATCAAGACCATCCCGGCCAACAAGGAAAATCACATCTCTACTAAAACTACAAAAATTAGCTGGATGTGGTGGCATGCATCTGTGGACCCAGCTACTCAGGAGGATAAGGCAGGAGAATCACTTGAACCCGGGAGGTGGAGGTGGCAGTGAGCAGAGATCATATCATTGCACACCTGTATGGTGACAGAGTGAGACTCTGTCTCAAAAACAAAAAAACAAAAAAAGAAATCACAAATTCATATCAGTCACATTAAATCTAACTAATCAGCTGTCAACATAAAGATTCTAGAAAGTAAAGAACATACAAGTAAGTTGAAAGGCTTCCCATATTCATGGATAGGAAGACTAAACCTAACTAACACACAATACTACACACATGATCTACAGACTAACAACAACTGCTACCAAACTGGCAATAGCCATCTGTGCAGAAATGGAAAAGATAATCCTAAGATTTTAATGAACTTGTATGTGCCTCAAATAGCCATGGCAATATTGAAAAAGAATAGTGTTGAAAGATGCACATTCATGAGATTGAAATCTAAAAATAAAAAAAATAAAAAAACAGAAAAATTCACACACCATGCTTCTACTGTGGGGGACACCCATAAGTATCACAGATATAGAATTGAGAGCACAGAATTAAATGCATACATACAGAGTCAGCTGATCTTCAACAAAGGTGCCAAGAATACACAATGGGGAAAGGAAAACGACTTCCACAAATGATGGTAAAACTGCATATTCTCATTCACATGAAGAAATGGAATGCTGACAGCGTGCTCAAGGCTGTGTTTCTCCCTCCATTTCTAAGACACTGGAGCTTTTCAGTGAGCCCACAGTGAATTTTCATTCTGTCCTCCATGCCCAGGGAGCATGATACCACAGGAAAACAGCAAGAACAGACAAATGAATGTCCTGCCATGAAACCTAAGTTCATAAGGTGTGGATCAATCTCTCCTATGCATCTGGGCACACTGCAGAAGAGTTTTATACTCAGGATTAAGTAACTGCCTGTGACAGAACTATGTCCCAAACCAAAGGCTGTGACATTTTGCAGTGGCACAGGCAGAAAAGAGCAGGTATTCTCTGAAAAATCATCTTTAAATAATAAACCAAGAACAGGTGATTGAAAACACAGGATACTCAAAAGCCCATGAACATACCTCTCCTCACCATGATTACATTAAACTATGAAAATAACAAACGTGGCTTTTATTAACTTTTTCTTTTTCTCTTTCTACTCTCTCCCTAAGCCTCCCAAGCAGAAGGTATAACATGAAGGCTCTTGGAAATGCTGTTTTATTAGACCCCATCTGATGTCTTGTTGCCTACCTGGAAAGGCATCCTCTTCCCTGCTGAGATTTTCCAGAATCCACTCTCTAGAACCACCAACATCAGGATAAGTCAGTGAGAGGTGCACTGACTTCTCCTCCTCCCGGTGAAGACTCACTGGCTCACACAAAATCTCCTGGTTAGTCCTCTGGGTTCACACACATTAATACAGCCGCTCTGGTCATAGCTATACACTTGCAAAATCATTTGCTCTCACCAGACCCCCAACATTTTTTAACAGGAATCCAGATTAAGGTTTCTATATATTCAAGCCAGCAAATTTGTTTCTCAGAAAGTGATTTGGTTCAAGGTATGTACCCAGGACAGGTGGTGGTAAAATCTGCAGTGAGACAAAAGAAGATGCAAGGAGGATCAGATCAATTCTGCTGCACCCCTTACACAGATCTGTTAGTCTGTTGATGACTTCAGAAAACTACATTTGAAACTGGTTAAGTCCATGTCAAAGACAAAACACTCTAGCATAGAGGACATGCATGGAAAAGACAAGAGCTTTTCTCACAGAATTTCTTTGAAGTTGATTTAGATTGGTAAACTCACAATGCCTAATTCGAAGAGGAAAACTGGTGTGGAGGAAAATGCCTCTGCATTACAGTTGATGATGGATGCTGTCCTCAAAAACATCCTACCATGTCATGTATTAGATGGGAAGACATTCCCAGTGAACTCCACCCCAAAAAGACTATTGTGTATGTCATACCTAATGTGTCCTGTCATATTTTATACCAAAATTAATTGAGAAGGAAAGAAATCAGCTGAAGGAAATAGTGTATACAGTGGTCCATTTTTAAGACAAAGTGCCTTGAAGTTGTTTAGCTCAGCAAAGGACAGAAGAAATACTAGGCTCGTGGTTGGATGGGCAATGCCGGCTTGTTGGGTCCCCCTTCCACCTCGCTTAGTTGTCCTCACTTTCACAAAGAAGTATAGGCTAAGTTAAAAGTTTACTAGCATGCAAAACAGCTCGCTTGGTCTGTTCTTATCAGCCTGCCCAGCTACTTAGGTCATAACTCAAATACTTGAAGAGCCCCTGAGCTGACTAGGATGGCAATGCATTGTGGGCTTCCAAAAAATGCAGTAAGACAACCATAAATATATATATTTATAGATATATATTTCTATTTATAGGTATATCTTGCAAGACCATCATTAAAATTCTAACTTTCTCTGTTCTGTAGGCCTCTGAGTCCATTCTTTGCGTGTGGATGGGTGAGTTTGTTTCTCACATTAGGAAAGCAGCATTTCCTTCGAATGCAAAGAAATGGGGTCTTACCTGGGCATCATCATTATCTTCCTCACTTGGTGGTAGAGATTTTAAACTCAGGTGGTCCTCAGGGGGGCCTAAAAGGACACAGAGTTAATGTCAGTGCCCTGGTGGTTGGAGACTGTGAGTCCCTCAGGAAGCTTTGCTGGATGCGGCATATGGAGCGTGGGACTGAAGATTGTGAGATCATCTCAGAGAAACAACTATGTTCAAGTAGTGAGCATGAGGGAGTGTCACCAGATACCTCGCATCTTAGTCAGTGCCTGGACCTAATAAGACTCTGCATTCTCAAGTCAAAGACCAAGGCTTTGATGTTTGCTGTGACATAGACAGGAAAAACTGGCCTTCTGGGAAAGGTAACCATTAAACACCAGATAAGGAAAAAAAATGGTTACAAACACAGCACACAAAGCCCATGGAGGCAAATGACCTCGTCTCTATCTTATTAAAATACAAAAGGAACAAGTCACACTTCTATACATATTTCCTTTGGTTCTGACTTCATTGTCCTTTTCCTGGGTTCCAAAGCAACAGGTGTCACCCAACTGCTCCCAGAGATCCTCCTAGACTATCATGCTCTACCTGCAGGTCTGCCTCAATGTAGCTGCCCTCATGGACGGTGTCCATTGGCCAATCTTTAGAGACAAAAACTCCACAAGAAGTTATTCCAGAGAGCAACTCACCCACCCTCCTACTCCAGGTGAGGCCACACTGGGTTGTACGAGATCACTCTGCCCTTCCCTCGGTGTTGTCAGACTCTGCCTGGGCTCTGGGGAATCAGAGGTCTCTAGAAAGGCATTGCTCACACTTGCCAGGCTTCAAGTGAGAAAGAGGAACTGAAGGAACCACCTTTCAACTTTTTCCTTCCAATGGCCCATTATAGGTCTCACCTCCAATCTCACAGCCCTGAGATTCCCACTGTAAGGTGTACGCTTTGAGTTAGAGGAGTTCAATAATCAGCCCCTCAGCCAGGCTTACAGCAGATGTGAAAGAACATTCTGCGGGGATGGAAATCTCTCCGGTGCATGAACAGAAAGCTGCTGGGGGATTGCATGGTGGCTGCTGTGATGAAGTTCTGAATTTCTTTTTTTTTTTTTTTTTTTTTGAGATAGAGTTTCACTCTTGCTGCCCTGGTTGGAGTACAATGGCATGATCTCGGCTCACTGCAACCTCCGCCTCCCGGTTTCAGGCGATTCTTCTGTCTCAGTCTCCTGAGTAGCTGGGATCACAGCCATGCACCACCACATATGGGCTAATTTTTGCATTTTTAGTAGAGATGGGGTTTCACCATGTTGGCCAGGTTGGTCTCGAACTCCTGACCTCAGCTGATCCACCCGCCCCGGCCTCCCAAAGTGCTGGAATTACAGGTATGAGACGCCACGCCCAGCCCTGAACTTTTAAATGTAAATATTTACATGTATTTAAATATGAAGAGGCACATATATGACTGAGAACCGCACTAGACGGCACAGGAGACCCAGACATGAGGAAGACATGACCCCCCCTCGCCTGGTGTTTTCTTGCAAAATAGTTCGCAGCTCTGCTCCTACCATACATTTATGGTTAGTTACTGGACATCTGCAAAAGGTCCTGTGGGTCCGGGGATATAACAATGAGGACAACATCCAGGTCCAGAGGGATGACAACAGGGGACGCACGTGCACACAAGCGAAGACTGTGGCCCTGCACACCCTGTCTAGACAGGATCAGAGCAGCAGGAGCTGAGGGCCAGAGGCACCTCACTGTCCTCAAGAGCTCAACCTCATCTCCAGGGACCCTGCCTCAGGAGCTGGGGCAGGCTCCAGGATTGGTGTAGGGCTCAACAGGCTAGACAGACTGAGAAGGGAACATTTCCACACCTGCGCTAGATCCCAGCCCAGGGCTGACCTAGAACTCGTCCCAGGGATGTGTTCACTACAATGCCCATGGGGCCTAACATGATCTCCCCAGGACTGACCTCTGGGATAAGGACTAATGAGGAAGACACAGTCACTGCCCTGGCAGGAAACACCCATATCCAGGGTTCCTCTATCCACAGTGTGGGAAAATATAACACAGACAGAGTTTGACACTGAAGATTCCAAGCCTTCTATAAAATAAGTGGAAACTAATGTGTTCTGGATTCCACAGAAGGGTTGCAAGGATGAGCTGGACTCTGGAATCCGTCCCCATCCCTTTGCTGAGCTCCTGGTGCACTGGAACTCATGTCCCTCCCCACCTCCCCTGCTACTTGGGAGTGCTGCAGCTACAGGCCCAGTGTTATGGGGTCAGTCCTGTTGAAACACATTTCAGACAGGCACGGTGGCTCACACCTGTAATCCCAGCACTTTGGGAGGCAGAGGCGAGTGGATCACCTGATGTCAGGAGTTTGAGACCAGTCTGGCCTACATGCAGAAACCTCGTCTCTACTACAAATACAAAAATTAGCTGGGCATGTTGGTCCATGTCTGTAATTCCAGCTACTTGGCAGACTGAGGCAGGAGAATTACTTGAACTTGGGAGGTGGACGTTGCAGTGAGCTGAGATCGCACCACTGCACTCCAGCCAGTGAGATCGCACCACTCACTCCAGAGTGAGACTCCATCTCAAAAAAAAAAAAAGAAAAGAAAAGAAAAGAAAAAGAAAAGACTACACACACACATTTCTCAGCCAGACAACCCTTGGCCAACAGTATCTCGTCAAGGACCATTCCTCAAGTGACTCCCAGAAGAGGTGAAAAAGAAAAACTCATCTGTCCCAGCCCCAGGAAGATCAGGCCTGGGACCTGTCTGTGTCTGTTCTGACCCTGAAGTCCATCCCTGCTGACTTGTGTCCTGTCTGCTCTGTGTCAGACAAGTGGGGACCTGATTCCTGTTCTGACCCCTCACCAATTTCTGCTGGTGTCACTGTCATCATTGCACAAAGAGATGGAGATGACAAGAGAAAGCAATGAAACTCCATTCTTGAGGCATTTAGGATGATGTCCACACCATGCTCTCGGCAGGCAGGAAGGCCAGGTCCTGCTCAATCCTACTCAGAAGGGGTCTCAGAGGTATGAGTACTAACCCTGTGATATTTCTCTACAGCTTCTCTCCTTTTTTCTTTTTTTTTTTTTTGAGACGGAGTCTAGCTCAGTCACTCAGGCTGGAGTGTAATGGTTTGATCTCGGCTCACTGCAACCTCTGCCTCCTGGGTTCAAGTGATTCTCTTGCCTCAGCCTCCTGAGTAGCTGGGATTACACACACCTGCCACCACTCGCAGCTCATTTTTGCATTTTCAGTAGAGATAGGGTTACACCATGTTGGCCATGCTGGTTTCAAACTCCTAACCTCAGACAATCCATCCACCTCCTAATTTCTTTTTTTTTTTTAAGGTCTGCGATACATGTGCAGGATGTATAGGTTTGTTACATGGGTAAAAGTGTGCCATGGTGCTCTGCTGCACCTGTCAACCCATCACCTAAGTATTAAGCCTGCATACATTAGCTGTTTATCCAGATGCTCTCCCTTCCCCTGCCCACTGACAGGCCCCAGTGTGTGTCATTCGCCTCTCTAACACTGTACGTATGCTAAGACCACTCCCTTGCTGATGACAAGTCTAAGTGATGGGTTGTGGGAGACTCTCTTGCCTGTTTTTGTCTGGAGAGACTGCCTGGCTTCAGGTTCCTGATAGGAGTGAGGACCTGGAGTACAGTGTGAGAAACAGATGGCTCAGTGAAGAGCTGTGATCATCCACTAGAGTCCCTGGAGACAACCGTATTATTTAGATGGTGTGGGTATGTGTGCAGGAGGGCTGGAAGGTAGCTAGGGGTGAATCAATGTGTAGTGATTGTGATTGTGTCTGTAAATGTGTGTTTTCCCACCAAAATGTGGTCCCACATGCCCAGCACAGTACAAGTGTCACTTTTCTTGAATTCCTGGCCTATGTGGTCCTCTCACCTCAGCCTCCCAAGTCATGTCATTCTTCTAATAGAAAGGAAGAGAAACTTCAGCACCACCATATACTTTACATAAATGACCTCTTTCTTCCCCCACCACAGCTGTACCTGAAAGTCAGTTTAATATCCCTACTCCTTAGATGGAGAGAGTGCAGAAAGGAGTGAACCCAGATTTTGACCTCCTGAATGGAAGAGGCAAAAGTGCACCCAAAAATGGGTCCCCATGTTGATGGTTTGTTTTACTCAACTGTCTCATCACTCAGGCTTGGTGACAGGACCCCACACCAGGGAGTTCCAGCACCTATGTGTGCCCCTGGAACTGTGTGGCCTATAAGCTGCCAAACTTTGCCCATCATCAACTGGGGCCCCAGTGGTCACATAACCCTGGGTAGCAAAAGGTACAGGGAACATAAAATGTTGGCATGGACATTACTGTGAAATACACATAGAAAGCCCACAGGCTTCTGGTCAGCTTGCAGATTCTGAGAAGTGTAAGGGATCATGTAGAACAGTGCAGGTCAACATCTGTCAGTGCTGGGCTCATTCCTCAGCACTTGGTCAAAGCAGGGAAGATCAGGAAGATACTGCATTGTATTTCATAATATGACTACCTCAAGCCTTAGAAATGCTCCAATCCATGGCTGGGTGTGGTGGCTCACACCTGTAATCCCAGAACTTTGGGAGGCCGAGGCAGTGGATCACCTGAGGTCAGGAGTTTGAGACCAGCCTGGCCAACATGGTGAAAGCCTGTCTCTACTAGAAATGCAAAAATTAGCCAGGCATGGTGGCCCATACCTGTAATCCCAGCTACTTGGGAGACTGAGGCTGCAGAATCTCTTGAACCTGGGAGGTGGAGGTTGCAGTGAGCTAAGATTGAGCCACTGCACACTCCAGCCTGGGTGACAGTGAGACTCTGTCTCCAAAAAATAAAGAAATAAATAAAAAGAGATGCTCCAATCCATAGCAGACAGACAAGGGCCAGTGCCACATCAGAACTCAGGACAACATTATCATTAGCCTGGTGCCCATCACCCTCACTGGAGACCTCCTGCACAGCTAGGTGAGTGAGGCTCAGCACTCACCAGGTACTGATCCCTGTGATGGACTGTCCCACTGTCGGGGGCTGGGGCGAGCATGGGCAGCCACTGACTCAGTGGACGCACACACAGTGTAAAGAAATGGAAGATGTGGGCTGGGCGCGGTGGCTCATGCATATAATCCCAGCACTTTGGGAGGCCGAGGCAGGTGGATCACAAGGTGAGGAAATTGTGGCCGTTCTGGCGAACACGGTGAAACCTCGTCTCTACTAAAAATACAAAAACATAACCAGGTGTAGTGGCGGGCAACTGTAGTCCCTATTCAGGAGGCTGAGGTTAAAGAATCACTTGAACCCAGGAAACACAGGTTGCAGTGATCTGAGATCACACCACTGCACTCCAGCCAGGGCAACAGACCAAGACTCCATCTAAATAAATAAATAAATAAAAATTTTAAAAAATAAGCTACCTTAAGGGATGGTAGAAAAGAAACAATCTGACCCTTACCTGATTCCTCTATTTAGGTACCAAACTGGCCAGATACATAAGCTAGAGAATGGGATGGGGATACCAAAATTGGGGTATTTGAATTTTCATTGGAAAAAGGGCTCTCCTTTTTCTAGATCAAAAAAGCCTCAATGACAAAGACAAGAGGCAGAGTCAGCCTTTGCCCCCATGCCCCAGATCTGGGAAAGCTGGCTATGGGCAGGAGGGAGCTGGAAGCTGAGGATGTCTCTGGAGATGAGGTTATGGGAAGGGGGTGAGGGTGGCCACAGGTGTGCCAGTGAGTAAACGGCACCCGTGGCTTTTTTACCTGTGGGCATCTTTTGGTTGCCGATGTGCTGCAGTTCGTGGCCCTCCGTGGCTCCCACATCCAGCTTGCCAGGCTCTACACTAGTGGATTCTGATGTTGCAGCAGCCACAGCCTCATAAATAACAGATTCATAACAGGGCGCCACCTTCCCCCTGCACCAGCTACAGGTGGAGTCGATACAACAGGTCAGTACACACCCCATGGGGCACCCACACTCCTCTCCACTCCTGCCTGAGACATCGATGAAACTGAAATGGTGCAGTCCTAGCAGCCACACTACTGAGGCTGGCACAGCACTTGTAGAAGCAGCCTGACCCCAGGCAGATCTGGGGCCTCAGCCCTTACTCTGGTGCCACCTCCCAAACTGGCTGATCTATGAAGTCGGGGACCTGCTGTCTTCTTTGAAAAATAAATGAACATGACAAGCGCCGAGAGGCACAAAAACTGCCATGAGACAGCACAGTCGGAGCTCCTCCTCCTTCCACTACCAGCTACCGACTGAGGGTTGCTGGTCCTGGCTGATGCCTATAACCACAAAGCTTCCTATGTCACCTGCTTACCAGGAAACAGCCAGGTCAGGCTAGTGACTCACAATGTCCAGCCCCACAGCCCCACACAATGCTTCACAATGTCCATCCCTGCTGCTGCCCACCTTGTGGCCACCCTGCCCCTCTGTGGTGACGGCACTACTCAGCCTTTTATTCACCCTGGGCTGCCTGAGCTTTCCAGTCCTGAGGAAAGTGCAGGGGAGTTATTATTGGAAGTCACCCTTGGCAAGAAACTCAATAGAAAACCCTGGTACAACTAGGCACGGTGGCTCATGCCTGTAATCCTAGCACTTTGGGAGCCTGAGGGGGGTGGATCACTAACCCCATCTCTACTAAAAATATAAAAATTAGCCTGGTGTGGTAGCGGGCGCTTGTAGTCCCATCTACTCAAGAGTCTGAGGCAGGAGAATTGTTTGAACCTGGGAGTTACAGGTTGCAGTGAGCCAAGATCATGCCATTGAACTGCAGCCTGGGCCAAAGAGAGAGATTCTGTCTCAAAAAAAAAAAAAAGAGAGAGAGAGAGAGAGACATTATGTTCATCTGGAAGAACAGGTAAGGCTAAAGGTAGTGGAAATGACTGCAGTGGATGGAAAAGTCTTGTGATCATTTGGGAGACAGAACAGGAAGCGCTAGATGATTAGATGTGGAAGAACAGGGCAAGTAAAAGGAAAAACAGGCTGCTGAGGCTCTAGTTTGAAGGACTGGGTAAATAGCAATGATTTTCTCCTACACAGAGAATGTAGGAAGAGGAATAGGTAAGTTTTCAGTTTCAGGATAGTTTTCAGTTGGGTGCAATGACTCACGCCTGTAATCCCAGCACTTTGAGAGGCCGAGCTGGGCGGATTATGAGGTCAGGGGTTTGAGACCAGCCTGGCCAACATGGCGAAACCGCATCTCTACTAAAATTACAAAAATTAGCCAGGTGCGATGGTGGGTGCCTGTAGTCCCAGCTTCTCAGGAGACTAAGGCAGGAGACTCACTTGGACCCAGGTCGTGGAGTTTGCAGTGAGCCAAGATCGTGCCACTGCACTCTAGCCTGAGTGACAGAGCGAGACTGCGTCTCAAAAAAAAAAAAAAAAGACATAGCTTTGGACTCTTAAGTATTGCATTCAAATGGAGCTCTCTGGTAGAAGTTAGATAGAAACCTCTGTAGGATAACTCCATTCTGTGACATCACAAGTCACGTTTTTAAAAAAAACACATACAAAGTCAAACCATTATGGAAATTTCCAAAATTTGCATACTAAAAAATGACAACTTTTTAGTTATTACTTTCTTTTTTTGAGACAGTCTTTGCTCTGTCACCCAGGCTGGGGTGCAGTGGCACGATCTCAGCTCACAGCAAGCTTTGCCTCCTGGGTTTACGCCATTCTCCTGCCTCAGCCTCCGGGGTAGCTGGGACTACAGGCGTCCGCCACCTCGCCTGGCTAGTTTTTTGTACTTTTTTTTTAGTAAAGACGGGATTTCACCGTGTTAGCCAGGATGGTCTCGATCTCCTGACCTCATGATCCGCCCGTCTCAGCCTCCCAAAGTGCTGGGATTACAGGTTTGAGCCACCGCGCCCGGCCTAGTTATTACTTTCTTAGAGCAACTTTGAATTTACAATCGTAGTGAATGAGGTGTCATGTAAAATAAAGCTGCTATATAAAAATGACATTTAAATTTTTTTCTCATCAGAGCATATAAAAAACAATTGCAGCCATGGGTATGGCAGGGATTGCTTTAAAAAGCTGTGTCTAATGAGGGGAGCTGGAAAGAAAGGAGACTTGGGGGCCAGGTGTGGTGGCTCACACCTGTAATCCCAACACTTTGGGAGGCCTATGCAGGCGGATCACCTGAGGTCAGGAGGAGTTTGAGACCAGCCAACATGGCAAAACCCCATCTCTACTAAAAATACAAAAATTAGCTGGGTGTTGCAGTGGGCACCTACAATCCCAGCTATTCGGGTGGCTCAGGCAGGAGAATTGCTTGAACCCAGGACACGGATGTTGCAGTGAGCTAAGATGGTGCCACTGCACTCCAGCATGGGTGACAGAGCAAGACTCTGTCTAAAAAACAAAATGGAAAAGAAAGAAGACTTGGGGAATAGGGAGGTTTAAGTGGCATTAAGTAAAGCCTACAAATGTGAGCAGTGAGAGTCAGGGTACCTGAGTGTTCATCAGAAACGGCTGATCGGGCGAGTCTCATCACAATGGAGCTGGTGTCTGCTTCTCATTTCTCTAATGGCTGTACCTAGCACAGTACCTGATCAATAGGGACTCAACACATAATACCCCGATGAACACAGAAAAATTCTGCCAGTTCAAAACTATGTCCATACCCACCAACTTCCCTCATGGAGTTTTACTTCTTTCACTTACTGTAATGTTTTGAAGTTCATCCCTCCTGTGGCCTGTATCCATAGTTTCTTTTCTTTGTATAACTGAGCAGCACTCCACTGTATGCACAGACCACATGGGTCTATCTATTCTCTAGCTGACGGACACTTGGGTTGTTTCCAGTTGTTGCCTGGAGTGAGTGAGGTTGCTGAGAACATTTATGTATACGTCTTTTTGAACACATGCTTTCATTTCTTCTAGATAAATTCCTAGCGATGGAATTGCAAGGTCAAATAGCTAGTTTATGCTTAACTTCTTTTTTTGCTTTCTTATTTGTAGAAAATATTACACTGATACATAATATTGAACATTTTTATGAGGCGCATGTACTGTTTGGTTCCATGGATCCAACATGTCATCATTAAGACAGTGAATTTGGAGTATGGCCTTGAGTATTTACCATTTCTATGTGTTGAGTATATTTGAAGTTCTCTCTTGAAGCTATTTTGAAATATACAATACATTATTGCTAACCATAGCCACCCTACTCTGCTATCCAACATTAGAACACACTCCTTGCATCTAACTGTAGGTGTGTATTCATTGACCAACCTCTCTGCATTCCCTTCTTATACCCGGAGGAGAGAGGAAGGAGGGAAAGGAGCTGTGGGTGGCTGAATTAGGGCCCAGGGATGGCTGTGTCCCAGTCCCGGGACCTGTCCATGTGCAGTGTTGTGTGGCCACAGGGACTTTACAGATGTGAGGATGTGAAGGAGCCTGAGGTGGAAGATGATCCTGGGTTATCTGGGTGGGTCCAAGGTGCGGTCTTTATAAGGGAAAGAAGGAGGCAAGAGGGTCAGAGTGAGAGCAGGTGTGGGGGTGGAGGGAAAGAAAGGGAGAGAAAGAGGGATGGTGAGAGAAGACGGTGGGGAGAGAGAGAGAAGCGTGGGAGAGAGACTTGAAGATGCTGAGCTCTGGCTTTGAAGTTGGAGGAAGGGGCCAGGAGCCCAGGGTGTCCTCTAGAAGCTGGAAAAATCCTGGAAATGGATTCTCCCCGGAGCCCTCAGAAGGAGCCTGGCCTAACTGGCACCCTGATTTTAGCACTCTAGGATTCATTTTGGACGTCTGACTCCACACCAGGGAAAGAATCAACACGTGATGCTTTAAGCCTCTAAATTAGCAGTCATTTGTGACAGCAGCCACAGGAAAGTCAAACAGGAGCCATCGGAGAGACTCCCTAGGATGCCCTGAGTGTCCTTCCTTGGCCCCACCATGAGAAACACAGGCCTGACCACTGGTGGTGCCCCCACCCCTCTAACACCCTGCTCAGCAGGAACCATGCAGGAGGGGCTGGGTGTGGCTGGGCCATGCTTTCCCCCTACACCTTCTTCTCAGAGAGCAGCTGGAGCCCCAGACCCAGGGAGCCTCACAGAGAAATTCCCATCACAGGACCTGATTTCCCATCTGAGGCTCAGGATCCAATGGAGAAGTGTTTCCCAAAAATGATGCTTCCTCCAAAGATGGTCAGTGACTTTCTGTGCCAAACATCTGAGAAAATCTCCATGTCCTAGGGCTGCCACGCAGTCACCAGTGCACACGTCAGAGCCCAAATTCCATCAGTAGTGAGGCCTTGGGTAAAACACATCCCCACTTTTAATTATGATGAGCTGCCCGGCCTCAGCATTGAAAACACCAACTTCCTTCGAGCAAACACTTATTTAATCTCTTAGAAATGATGGAGCACACCAGCCTGAACAACTGGTGAAAACCTATCTCTAATAAAAATACAAAAATTAGCTGGGTGTTGTAGCATGTACCTGTAATCCCAGCTACTCAGGAGGCTGAGGCAGGAGAACTCGTTGAACCGGGGAGGCAGAGGTTATGGTGAGCTAAGATCGTGCCATTGCACTCCAGCCTGGGCGAGAGTGAGACTCCATTTAAAAAAAAAAAAGAAAGAAATGATGGAGCACCTATTGCCGTTCTTGCACTGGTTCCTGGGGAGCTCAGAGCCTATCTTTTACAAGTGTCCTGAGCCTCTTGCAGGCCTTTCATGTGTGTTTCCTTCCTGACTTCCTCCTATTTTTCTCACACCTCTGAACCTGCTGTCAGGTGAAAAATCAAAGTGGGCTCCAAATTTAAGAGCTCATGAATTTGATGGTGTGGGAGTGTCCTAGACAGTCCAGCCCTTGGGGGTGGGGAGTTGGGCAGAGAGGAAGGATGGCATTCCAGGGGCCAGAGCCAGAAGCACAGGGAATCCAGGCCTAGAGTAGGATTTCCAGGCTGAGGAAAGAGAGGCTGTGGGTCAGGGGAAGGTCCAGACCAGGACAGGGACAGAGGGTGTATTTGGAGGCTCAGCCAGAAATAGCTCCTCCAAAACATAGGCAGCGAGTTGGAGGGTGAGCTGCAAGGAGGAAGGGGAGGTGGGAGAGAATGGATGGACCGGTGTTCAGTGAGCCGACTCCTCCTATCCTGGCCTATGTCCCCAGGGGACACGCCTGGGAGCCTGTGATCCTCTCCTCCAGGCTGCTTTCCCGCTGGTGCCAGGATTCCCCCAACGCCACACTGAGCACCCAGGAGAAGCATCAAATTGTATGAGAGATAAGAAATGAAGAGAGGGAGCAGGATTTCTGGTTGACAAAGGATGTTTGAGGGTTTTCTGGGTACAAGGAGAAGGGCTGGATGGCTTGGGATGCAGAGAGACCCCTCCCCTGGGATCCTGCAGCTCCAGGCCCCTATGGGTGGGGTGAGGGTTGGGAACCTATGAACATTCTGCAGGGGCCACTGTCTTTCTCCACGGTGCTCCCGTCATGCGTGACCTGGCAGCTGAAGCTGTTGCGGGACCTCCACTGCTCGGGCGTCAGGCTCAGGTAGCCGCTGGCCACGTATTTGTTGCTCTGTTGGGAGGGCACAGTCATCTCCACGCCCTGGGTGATGGGGGTACCATCTGCATCTCCTCAGAAGATGGCGGAAACAGAGTGACTGAGCGGATGGCCTTGGGCTGACCTGTGTGGACAGAGGAGGGGGTGAGAGATGGCAGAGGTAGCGTGGGGTGCTGTGGAGCACCTCTCTCTGTCTAAAGTCTCTGGGAGGGTTCATGGTGTGGCCATCTGGTCCACCCAGGGTCTCTCCCTCCCTCTTAATTCCCTCCTTTCCACTAGAGCCCTCTGGAGAACAGACAACCCTGCACCTTCCTAGGGGCCTTCCCAAGTCACCTTTGCCAGGTGTCCTGGCCCAGTCATTTCCTTTGCAGCCTCGGTTTCCCCGTGTGTACCCACAGCAGGCTGTGCTCCCTCCTTCTTGGTTTCTGGAGTCTAAGTTTGGAATCTAGGGGTCTCTCCCACAGCACACAAAACTGTCCTGGCAGTGTGTGGGGAGGCCTAAGCCTGGCATGGCCTGGAGCTTCCTGTCCCCTGGGACACCTGGCCCGCTCATCTCTCCTGGTGAAGCACGGGCTCCACCCAGACAAACCCTGGGGCTCTGCTGTCGACCCCGTCCCACCAGCCCGACCACAGGACCCTTCACGTCGGCTGGGTTCTTGGGGCTGCTTGCCCAGACTGAGCGTGGTGGCACACACCTACAGTCCCAGCTACTTGGGAGGCTGAAGCAGGAGAATCACTTCAACCCAGGAGGTAGAGGTTTCAGTGAGCCAAGATTGTGCCACTGCAGTCCAGCCTGGGTGACAGAGCAGGACTCTGTCTTAAAAACATTTTAAAAAAAGGCTCAAATGTGTCCTCTGAAAAGTGTGTTGGGTCTGTCAGTATACAGTATATAAAATGTATGAAAGGTAGCCTGTTCCAGAGTTAAGTTTGGAAAGCTGAGGACCATCTGCATATACACAGCACGCCCTTTCCCTGCACCACAGTATCTTCAAAAATTCTTCCCTCCAATCCTTTTTTTTTTTCTTTTTTTTCTTTTTTTGAAGACAGGGTCTCACTCTGTCACCCAGGCTGGAGTGCAGTGGCATGATCACAGCTCACTGCAGCCTTGACCTCCTCAAGCGATCCTCCCATCTCAGCCTCCTGAGTAGCTGGGATTATAGGCGTGAGCCACTACACCCAGTTAGTTTTTTTTTAATTTTTATTTTTAGAGATGGGGTCCCACAATGTTGCCCAGCTCATCTGGAACTCCTGCGTACAAGCAATCCACCCACCTTGGCCTCCCAAAATGCTGAGATTACAGGCATGAACCACCACACCTGGCCTCCAATCTCTTCAAATTTCAGAACCTTACCTTTCTATCACTGTAACACTATTTCCCTCACAGGATGCACGGTTATTATCAAGAAAGGCAGGAAGGGTGAAGATTTCTAGCATTTCTCTCTCAGTCCCATTTGGTGCTTACATCTTATTTTGGGTTGCACTTGACATCTTGACATATGGAATACTTGTCAGGCTTACAACAGCCTTAGAGTGATCATGTGGGTAATCTTGATGAGAGATATGATCATTAAATTCTAACCAAAATGTAGCATCCAAACATAAGACAAATATTTACAAGTGATAAATCCTGCATGAAAGAGAAGATAACGGTGCCCACCTCTGATAATCTGTCCCAAATCAAGGCAGTACAATTCCTGCAAAGAAAAAAAACGAAAGCATGTCTGCTAGTTCCAGGCCTGTGTTAGAGAAGGCTCTTTCTAGGGGCACCAGAGGGAATGGAGTGTAATTCAAACTGGAAGGCTTTTAAAGTGAGCTAGCTCACCTATTGAGGCTATACCTTTTAACTCCACTCCACTGCAGTAGTCAGGACTCGTTCCAAGTGACAGAAACCCCACTCAAACTAGCTTAAGCCTAAAGACAGATTTATGGACTGTCTCATGGAATTCATAAACAAGATAGTTCTGACTATCTCTCAGAACTCATTGGCCTTAAGAACTCTGTGGAGCCAGAGACTCAAACACCACTCTCTTCTCTTGTCATTTCTCCGTTTCTTTGAGATTTGTCCTTATTTCTCAGCAATTCCCCCAACCCTCTAGTTCACATAATCTGAAGCATGGTTACAGGGAGCTCCTAAATTTTGTATTTTGCAATCAGAGAACCTGGTTCAACTCTCTTTCTGTCTCCGTTTGAAAAATCTGTGTAAGGACATTTATTGGACTGGCCTGGGCAGGTGCGTTCCCCTGAATCAATCAGCACTGGGCATAGGACAAGTTCACATAATAATCGGGCAACCTAGAAAAAGGAAGTAAGGAGCAGAGGCAGCCCTTAGAAGGCAAGTAGTGCCAGAACGACATTCCCATGGGTGTTCTCTGCATCAACAACCCTACCATCCTGATGTTTTCTTTTGCATTCATTAATATTTGTGTGAGTCTGGAGAAATATACCATGTTCATGGATTGGAATACTCAATATCATAAAGATCAGTTCTCCTCAAAGTGATTTGTAGATTACATGTAATTCTTATCAAAATCCAAACACATTTCTTTCTTTTCTTATTTATTTATTTATTTACTTATTTATTTAGAGACAGAGTCTCGCTCTGTCACCCAGGCTGGAGTGCAGTGGCACAATCTCGGCTCACTGCAAGCTCCGCCTCCCGCATTCACGCCACTCTCCTGCCTCAGTCTCACAAGTAGCTGGGACCACAGGTGCCCCCCACGACACCCGGCTTTCTTTTTTTCTTTTGTATTTTTGGCAGAGGTGGGGCTTCATGGTTTTAGCCAGAATGGTCTCGAGTTCCTGACTTTGTGATCTGCCTGCCTCAACCTCCCAAAGTGCTGGGATTACAGATGTGAGCCACTGCGTCCAGCGCTTTTTTTTTTTTTAAAAACAAACAGTCATCATTAGGATGAATCTCAACATACTTCTTAATAAATACTGACAAGTTGATTCTAATTTTGTTTTTAGAAAGCGTCTTGCTCTGTTGTCTAAGCTGGAGTATAGTGGTGGAATTACAGCTCACTGAAGCCTCAAACTCCTGGGCTCAAGCAATCCTCCCGCCTCAGTCTCTCCAAGTGCTAGGATTAAAGACGTCTGCCACCACGCCTGGCTAATTCTAAATTTATATGAAAATGCAGGCTGGGTGTGGTGGCTCACATCTGTAATCACAAAACTTTGGGAAGCAGAGGCAGGTGAATCACCTGAGGTCAAGAGTTCCAGATCAGCCTGGCCAACACAGCAAACCCCGTCTCTACTATAAAAACACAAAAAAGTTAACCAAGTGTAGTGGCACCTGCCTGTAATCCCAGCTACTCAGGAGGCTGAGACAGGAGAAACACGTGAATCTGGGAGGCAGAGGTTGCAGTGAGCTGAGATTGCACCATTGTACCCCAGCCTGGGCAAAAAGAGCAAAACTCTGTCTCAAAGAAAAAAAAAAATGCAAAGGGCCAAGAATAGCCAAAATACTGGCTTGTTCTGAAATCTCTGGTCTATGAGATAATCTACTTTTTTTTTTTTTTTTTTGAGACAGAGTCTCCTCGCTCTGTTGCATAGGCTGCAGTTCATTGGTGTGATCTTGGCTCACTGCAAGCTCTGCCTCCTGGGCTCACGCCATTCTCCTGCCTCAACCTCTCAAGCAGCTGGGACAACAGGCACCCACCACCACCCTGGCTAATTTTTTGTGTTTTTAGTAGAGACGGGGTTTCACTGCGTTAGCCAGGATGGTCTCGATCTCCTGACCTCGTGATCTGCCCGCCTCTGCCTCCCAAAGTGCTGGGATTACAGGCATGAGCCACCGTGCCCGGCCAGACGAGATGATCCACTTCTTACTGACTTCAAGATGTGATAAAAGGCTTGGCACAGTGGCTTATGCCTGTAATGCCAACACTGGGAGGCTGAGGTGGGAGGATCACTTAAGGTCAGGAATTGGAGACCAGTCCAGGCAACATGGCAGGAGCTTGTTTCTGCAGAAAAAGTAAAAAAAAAAAAAAAAAATGCTGGGCACGATGATACACACCTGTAGCCCCAGCTATCCAGGAGGCTGAGTCAGGATGATTATTTGAGCCCAGGAGTTCAAGGCTATAGTGGCTGAGGTGGGCGGATCATGAGGTCAGGAGAGCAAGACCATCCTGGTCAACATGGTGAAACCCCGTCTCTACTGAAAATACAAAAAAATTAGCCAGGCGTGATGGCAGGTGCCTGTAGTCCCAGCTACTCGGGAGGCTGAGGCAAGAGAATCACTTGAACCCAGGAGGCGGACGGTATGCGCCTGTAATCTCAGTTACTGGGGAGGCTGAGGCACGAGAATTGCTTGAGTTCAGGAGACAGAGGTTGCAGTGAACTGAGATCTCACCACTGCACTCCAGCCTGGGTGACAGAATGAGACTGCCTGAAAAAAACAAAACAAAACAAAACAAAAAATCAGTGCTATCTTATCTTAAGTGTTTTATGATTAAACGTCTACAATTGTCTTTTGCACTAAGTTTATTATTTTTATTGTATTAAACTTTAGATGCATGGGGCACATGTGCAGGTGTGTTCCATGAGTACACTGCAAAATGCTAAGGTTTGGGCTTCTAGTGAACCCATCACCCAAACACTGACCATAGTACCCAACGAGCAGTTTTTCAACCCTTTCCGCTCCTTCCCTCCCCACCTGTGGAGTTCCCAATGTCTGTTATTTCCATCTTTATGTCCATTCGAACCAACTGTTTAGCTATTTATTTATTAATTTATTTTTGAGACCCTTCACCCTGGCTGGAGGGCAGTGGCTCCATCTCAGCTCACTGCAACATTCGCCTCCCGGGTTCAAGCGATTCTCCTGTCTCAGCCTTCTGAGTAGCTGGGATTACAGGCACGCACCACCACACGGGGCAAATTTTTGCAATTTTAGTAGAAATGGGGTTCCCGCATGTTGGCCAGGCTGGTATCGAACTCCTGTCCTCAAGTGATCCACCTGCTTTGCCCTCCCAGAGTGCTGGCATTATAGGTATGAGCCACTGCACCTCGCCTATTTTTAAATAATACTTAATTTTCTTTCATTTTGCTAATAATTTAGAGTACAATTATATAATGATGTTAACTTTTTTTGGGCGGTGGGATGGGGTCTCACTCTGTCACCCAGGCTGGAGTGCAATGGCTCAATCATGCTTCCCTGCTGCCTCAAATTCCTAGGGTCAAGTGATTCTCCCACCTCAGCCTCCCAAACAGCTGGGACTACAGGCATGCACCACCATGCCCAGCTCATTTTTCTATATTTGTGGAGACAGGGTCTTGCTATGTTGCCCAGGGGGGTGTCAAATTCCTGATCTCAAGCAATCTGCCCGCCTTGGCTTCCCAAAGTGCTGGGGTTATAGGCATAAACCACCGTCCCTGGCCTAATAATGTAGAATTTTACTTAATGCTTCATAATATCATTTCAAAAGTTTGTATTGGATATGTATTTAAATATGTAGTTTGATCTTTTGAAAAACATTTGAATTCCTAAGATTATAAAATACTAGTTGTGCCCAGGAGGCGGAGGTTGCAATGAACAGAGATAACACTACTGCACTCCAGCTGGGGTGACGGAGCAAGACTCCAACTCAAAAAAAAAAAAAACAAATAGTTGTGTTAGGGTTCAAACCAGAGAAGCAGAACTAGTAGGAGAGATACACAGATTCAGATATACATAAACATATAGTGACACACATCTGCATAGATATAGAAACGGATGGCTTCTAGCCGGGCACAGTGGCTCAAGCCCGTAATCCCAGCACTTTGGGAGGCTGAGGCAGGCAGATCACCTAACGTCAGGAGTTTGAGACCAGCCTGGCCAACATGATGAAACTCTGTCTCTAATAAAAATACAAAAATTAAGGCCGGGCGCGGTGGCTCAAGCCTGTAATCCCAGCACTTTGGGAGGCCGAGACGGGCGGATCACGAGGTCAGGAAATCAAGACCATCCTGGCTAACACGGTGAAACCCCATCTCTACTAAAAAATACAAAAAACTAGCCGGGCTAGGTGGCGGGCGCCTGTAGTCCCAGCTACTTGGGAGGCTGAGGCAGGAGAATGGCATAAACCCGGGAGGCGGAGCTTGCAGTGAGCTGAGATCCGGCCACTGCACTCCAGCCTGGGCCACAGAGCGAGACTCCGTCTCAAAAAAAAAAAAAAAAAAAATACAAAAATTAGCCAGGTGTGGTGGTGTATGCCTGTAGTTCCAGCAAATCGGGAGGCTGAGACAGGAGAATTGCTTGAACCCGGGAGGCACAGATTGCAGTGAACCGAGATCGCGCCAGGGCACTCCAGCCTGGGTGACAAAGCTAGACTCCGTCTCTAACAAACAAACAAACAAACAAACAAAAAAGCTATATACAGACATACATCTAGATAGATAGATAGATTGGTAAAACCTTGGCTTCTGCATTTGTGGGGTTGGCTAAGCAAGCCCAGAGTCCACAGGACTGGCCGTCAGGAAACGATAATCACCGATGGGCTGGAGCCGCACAGGCAGGGCCAAAGCTTGTTTTTCACAGGCACTCAGGAAGAAAGATCCAGAGAGAAGGGAGCACAATGGTGGACTCAACTGCTATTTGAAGTCTGTGCTCCAGGAAGTCCTAAGCCCTCTCTTTTTTAAAAAAAGAAACATAAACTTTTTGGCTGGCTGTGGTGGCACAAGCTGTAGTCTCAGCTGCTCAGGAGGCTGAGGCAGGAGAATTGCTTGAGCACAGGAGTTAGAATCTAGCCTGAGCAGCATAACAAGACTTTGGTTCTAAAAAGTATTTAAAAAATAGTCTGGCCGAAGTGGCTCACAACCGTAGTCCCAGCACTTTGGGAGGCCAAGGCGGGTGAATTGCTTAAAGCCAGGAGTTCAAGACCAGCCTGGCCAACATGGTGAAACCCCGTCTCTATTAAAAATACAAAAATCAGCCGGGTGTGGTGGCGCATGCCTGTAATCCCAGCTACTTGGGAGGCTGAGGTGGAAGAATTGCTTGAACCTGGGTAGCAGAGCTTGCAGTGAGCCAACATTGCACTGCTGCACTCCAGCCTGGGTGACAGAGTGAGACCCTGTCTCAAAAAAATAAATAATATTTTCAAAATAAAACACTTTTAATGTTATTATTATTTTTTTCTTTAGCAGCACATTGGGAAGTTGAGTAAACTTTTAATTTTAAAACAGTTTTAGAATTACAGACAAATTGCCAAGACAGCACTAAGTTCACACATACCCTCGTACCTGGCTTCCTTCTTATGAACATCTTAAATTACTATGGTAAATTGCTACAGTTAAAAAACCTGGCTGGGCATGGTACCTCACACTTATGATCCCAGCACTTCGGGAAGCCAAAGTGGGAGGATTACTTGAGTCTTGGAGTCCAAGACTAGCCTGGGATACACAGTGAGACCTTGTTTTAGTTAAAAAAAAAAAAAAAAAAAATTTAAGGCCAGGCGCGGTGGCTCATGCCTGTAGTCACAACACTTTGGGAGGCCGAGGCAGGCAGATCACCTGAGGTCAGGAGTTCAAGACCAGCCTGACCGACATGGAGAAACCCGGTCTCTACTAAAAATACAAAATTAGCCGGAAGTGGTGGGGCACGCTTGTAATCCCAGCTACTCAGGAGGCTGATGCAGAAGAATCACTTGAAACCAGGAGGCGGAGGTTGCAGTGAGCTGAGATCTCGCCATTGCACTCCAGCCTGGGCAACAAGAGTGAAACCCCATCTCGAAGAAAAAAAAGTTTTTAATGAAAAATTGGACCAGGCTGGAGCACAGTGGCACAGTCACACCTTACTGCAGCGTCAAACTCCTGGGCTCAAGCAATTCTCCCTCCTCAGCCTCCCTAGCAGCTGGGACTGTAAGTGCATACCACCATGCTGACTAACTAAAAGAAAAAAAAAAAATTTAGAGAGATGTAGTCTCGCTATGTTGCCCAGGCTAGTCTCACACTCCTGACCTCAAGATCTTCCCATCTTAGCCTCCCAAAGTGCTAGGATGTGAGCCACCATCTCCGGTCCCAGTAAACCAATACCGATATATTATTATTAACTAAGGTTCATCTTAATTCAGATTTCTTTACTATTTCCCCTAATGTTCTTTTCCTGTCCCAAGATCTCATCCAGGAGACCATACTATGTTTAGTTCTTAAGTCTCCTCAGGATTGCTGGAGTGCAGTGACTCCATCTCGGCTCACTGTAACCTCTCATCACTGAGTTCAAGCTATTCTCCTGCCTCAGCCTCCCCACTTGCTGGGATTACAGGCACCTGCCACCATGCCCAGCAGTGCAGTAGGACGATCTTGGCTCACTGCAACCTCTGCCTCCTGGGTTCAAACGATTCTCCTGCCTCAGTCTCCCAAGTAGCTCGGATTACAGGTGTGTGCCACCACTCACTGTCTTTTTTTTTTTTTGGAGACAGAGTTTGAGATGGGGCTTTACCACATTGGCCAGGCTGGTCTAGAACTCCTGGCCTCAGGTCATCCACCCACCTCAGCCTCCCAAAGTGCTGGGATTACAGGTGTGAGCAACTGTGCCCAGGCTGTTCTGCACTTCACTTGCAAAATACTTTTCCCTTTACAATAAATTGCTCTATGCTGCATCACCTTTGCTGTGTGATTCTTATTTAAGTTCTTTATTTATTTTAATTATTTCTTCTTTTTGAAACAGGGTCTCACTATGTTGCCCAGGCTGGTCTCAAACCTTTGAGCTCAAGCAATTCGCCCACCGTGGCCTCCCAAAGAGCTGGGATGACAGGCATTAGCCACCACACCCAGCCTAAATTCTTTGAAACTTACAACTGCGGCCCCAAAAGACCTGTCAATCATTGCACCACTGCCATCCAGCTTGGGCGACAGTCTAAGGCCTCATCTCACAAAAGGAAAAAGATATATTAAAAATAAATAATTTTTTTTTTTCCCTAAAAACAGGGTATCCCAGTCAGGCACGGTAGCTCACACCTGTAATCCTTGCACTTTGGGAGGCCGAGGCAGGTGAGTCATCTGAGGTCAAGAGTTCAAGACCAACCAGGCCTACATGGTGAAACCCTGGCTCTACTAAAAAAAAAAACACAAAAATTAGCTGGACACGGTGGAAGGTGCCTGTAATCGCTGCTACTCAGAAGGCTGAGGGAGGAGAATCACTTGAACTTGGGAGGCGGAGGTTGCAGTGAACCCAAGAATGCACCAGTGTCCTCCAGTTTGGGCTCCTACAGAGTGAGACTCCAGCTGAAAAACAAATACAACAAAAAAGACAGGGTCTCCCTCTGTTGCCCAGACCAGGGTGCAGTGAGCGGTCACAGCTCACTGCACCCTTGACCTCCCATGCTCAACTGATTCTCCTGCCTCAGTAGCTGCGACTACCCGCACATATCACCATGCCTGGCGAATTTTTTAATTTTTGGGGGTGATGGTCTCACTATGTTGCCCAGGCTGGTCTTGAACTCTTGGCCTGAAGTGATCCTCCTACCAAGTCCTCCTTACACAGAGCTGGGATGACAGGCGTGAGCCTCCGCACCCGGCCCTCCAAAGCTGCCTGTTCCTTGAGCATGATGTGTAGCAAGGGGAGCTAGAGTGAGAGCAGCACCGTGGGGAAGGGACAGGACTGCCACCCTGAGCTTTCTGACGTTAGGCCAGAACCCTCTTCTCCAAGCGAGATCAACCACATGAGTGGTTTGGAACCTGTGAAGGTTTAGAGATGCTGGGAGAACCTTTTTCCTGGGAGAGTTTTCCAAATAGGGAACAAACAGAGCCACCCTGGGCCCCGCTGAGGGAGGATCCTACCAGAAGCCGTCACCACTGTCTCGCTCCACGCCGGTGGTGATGTTGATGTCATCGATGCAGGTAGTTGGTGTCGTGTACAGAAGCACAGACCACTGCAGTCCCGCGTACTTGAAGAAGTCAAAGTCTGTGTTCTGGACAAAGTAACCCTTGGGATACCTAGGGCGGGAGGACTGTGGTTTGCTGGGCCCTTGCCATGGGTCTTTTGTCCTCAGTTCACATGCCTCCCCAGATCAGGGCCTCCTCTCTGCGAAGGCCACCCTGTCCCTGGCAGGAAGACCACAGGGTGGGCCGGGAAGGTGGGTGCGTGCAGTGGAGGAAGGATGGTACCCACTTGGACGTGTCAGTCACGTACAGATGGTCCCTAGTGGCAGGGTTGGGGGGTGAGCGTGCTGTTGATAGCAACAGTGAAGCAGAGGCGGGAGGGCAGGGGCCCCACCGGGAACAGGCTGCTGATGTCAGCCTCGAAGGGGAGGTAGCCCCTTTCATGCTCTAGCATGTGGACACCATTCACCCACTGCAGAGATAGGAGATATGGGGAGGGGGTGGCAGGTCGGGGCATGAGGAGGGGCTCTGCTATCGGGCACTCCCTCACATAACCCGAAGCATGGGGCTCAGGGGCCTGCCAGCCAGATGGGAAGAACGACTTCCCAGTGGGGTAGATCAGGCCACCTATCCCCCTACACAGGGCACAGTCCCCAGGGCAGGGTAAGGCCCCCCACCGTCCCAACCCAGGAGACAGGCTGTGGGTGGAATCTGAGGGTCCCAGGCTGTTCAGCAGCTGTGGCCACCCACCCGACCTGCCTGCTAATGGCTACACTGACCACAATGGCATAGAAGTGGGCACTGCCAATCCTCAGTACCACTCTTGTGTACAGGTCCTGGATCCATCGCTTCAGCAGGGTCACCTCCCATTCATATCACACCCAGCTGACAAAATGCCCAGTCCTGGCTGATATCATTGAAGATGCAGAGAACCGGTATGTTCAAGGTGGGGCCAGACTGCAAAGAGAAGGGCTGGGCTCAGCTCCTAGGCCCCCAAAGGCATCTGGGACCAGTGTGCTGCACAGCTGTGGTCCCAGGCCTAGCACAAGCCCTGACACATGGCGGGGACTCCTGGTGGAAAAGACAGATAACTTGCTGATGACAGGTCCACTGCCAGGGCAGGTTGTACACCTGGACCAGTGGGGCCAGGAGATCCTCGTTGGAGCAGATAGCACCCAGTATCTCCGGAGACAGGGGTGAACCCAGGGGCACATCCCAGCCCGAGGCAAGAAAGTTCAGACCTGTGACTAAGATGCAAATGACCCACTGCCTGTCACTGGGAGGAAGGCTGGTTAGGGGGATGGGGGAGTTTGCTTAGGACACTGTGAGTGAGGCCCACGCTGGCAGCCAGCCCTCTCCTCTCTTTCTCTTGTACTGAATACCACAAAGTCAGAAACAGAGGATGTAGGCTGGGCACGGTGCTTCACACCTGTAATCCCAGCACTTTGGGAGGCAGAGGCAGGCGGATCACAAGGTCAGGAGTTCGAGACCAGCCTGGCCAATATGGTGAAACCACATCTCTACTAAAAATACAAAAATTAACTGGGAGTGGTGGCGGGCACCTGTAGTCCCACCTACTCGGGAGGCTGAGGCAGGAGAATCGCTTGAACCCAGGAGGCAGAGCCTGCAGTGAGCCAAGATCATGCCATCGCACTCCAGCCTGGGTGACACAGTGAGACTCTCAAAAAAAAAAAGACAAAGAAAAAGAGGAGGTAGAACAGGCAAACGCGGCCCAGACCTCACCGGATCCCACTTCTCTGCTGACCACATTCCAAGTCAGGAGGGCAACAAGGGTGGCGTCCTTGGTCTGATGTCACTGTCTGTCCTCTATCTGAACCCTGAAAACCAAGCTACCTTCCCCTCTCGGCAGAGCCAACCTCAGAATGTCTAAACTGTCCCCTCCTCCTGATCCCCGGGCCCAGCTCTGTGCAGGGCCTGCCCCTCAGGCCTGACGAGTGTCTGGTGGCTCATGCCTGTAATGAGCGCTTTGGGAAGTCAACGTGGGAGGATGGCTTGAGGTCAGGAGTTCGCCTGGAGAACGTACTGAGACGCTGTATCTTAAAAAACAAAACAAAACCAAAAAGTTGGTTTTTGTTTTGAGACAGAGTCTCAGTCTGTCGCACAGGCTGGAGTGCAGTGGCTTGATCTCGGCTCACTGCAACCTCCGCCTTCCTGGTTCAAGCAATTCTCCTGCCTCTGCCTCCCAAGTAGCTGGGATTACAGGTGCTCATCACCACACCTGGCTAACTTTTGTATTTTTAGTAGAGAGCGGGTTTCACCACGTTGGCCTGGGTGGTCTTGAACGCCTCCCCTCAGGTGATCCGCCCGCCTCGGCCCCCCCAGGTGCTGGGATTACAGGCGTGAACCACCAAGCCCGACCAAGTTTCTTTTCTTTCTTTCTTTTCTTTTTTTTTTTAATTAGGTATGGCGGCCCCAGCTAACTTGCAAGGCTGGGGCAGGAGAATCGCTTGAGCTCAGAAGTTAGGATTGCCCTATTCCGCTCCAACCTGTGCGGCAGGGTCAAACCCCGTCTCAAAAACATTTCAAAAATTAAAAATAAATATTAGAGAGTACACTGCCCGGGCTCAGCTATCGCCTCCCGACGTGGCTGGACAGGAGCGCTTCCTCCTCCTCCCGCCTCCTCCGCCCTGGCCCTCCCCGGTCCCCATAGTCCCCCCGGTTCCCCCGTCCTCCAACCCCGCGCCCCCAAGCCCGTTGACCTTTAACCTCCTCAGGGCCCCCAGCTCCCGGGCACTCAGGTGAAGGAGGGTGCAGGGCGCCGGGGCTTTCGCCATTCCCAACGCCGGGCTTCCGGGCGCCTCCCAACTGTCGTCCCTACATCTGCTCCTGGAAGCCCCGGCGTCGGTTGTTGGAGAAGTCCGCTGGGAAGCTTCAGAGGCCGTGGAGCTCCTTGCCCTCCCCCGACGGGCTCTCCCGGGTGTACAGCATCCCGCCCAGCAGCGCCTGCGCGCAGCCACACAACAGCTGCTGAGAGCCTCCCAGGACACCGCCACCAGCCAGGTCATACCTCCCGCTCCCTGTCTTGTCACCAGTCTGAGGGGATGAGAGCGGCCTGGGGGGGAAGCCCTGCGGGCCTGTCGCGTGACGCGCCTGCGGTGTGACGCGCGTGACGCCGTCGGCGCCATGTTTGTTGAGGGCGCGTGCCAGGGCTGGAGGGGCGAGGCGGCTCCAGGTGCTGCCCAGTAGGACCTGTGGCTGGAACACAGGGCTAGGCCTTTGGGGAAGCGAGACCCCCACCCTCAGCTCCAGCCAAGAAGGGAGTCATCTGCTTCCCATCCCAGCAGAGGCTGGACGATCCAGGGCCCCAGGCCAGGAAAGAACCCCTGAGATTGGTGGCATCCCCGTTTCTTCAAGGGGCACCTCCACTTGCTTTCCCCAGCAAGAATTGGAGCAGGCCCCAGGGGAGCCTCTTCCATGACTGCGGGATGCAGCCTCTTGCAGGGATGCACCTCCTTGGGAGGCGGCGGTAGCCTTGATCCTGGACCTCTGGGACCCCGACCCTAACCAAGGGGACAGAAGCTCCTTCTTGGCTTTGAAGATACATGAAGATACAGGGAGAGAGGCCAAGTGCAGTGGGTCACGCTTGTAATCCCAGCACTTTGGGACGCTGAGGTGGGCGGATCACTTGAGGCCAGGAGTTCCAGACCAGCCTGGCCAACATGGCGAAACCCCCTGTCTACTGAAAATACTAAAAAAGAAACGGAGCCAGGCATGATAGCAGGCGCCTGTAATCCCAGCTACTCAGGAGGCTGAGGCTGAAGACTCACTTGAACCCAGGAGGTGAAGGTTGCAGTGAGCCGAGGTCGCACCACTGCAGTCCAACCTGGGTGACAGAGCAAGAATCTATCTCAAAAAAAAAAAAAAAAAAAAAATTGCAGGGAGAGGGTGCCCTGCGGGACCCCACTTTACTCCAGTAGGGAAGGCACCATGTAGAAGGAATCTGGAAGAGATCTGGAGACAGTAAAAAAGACGTAGGTTTATTCAGGGGACTTTCACACAGGTGCAGTGGCTGTGGCTGGACATGAGAACCACTACATTTGTAAAAAGCATGCAGCTTCCATAACATTTTCACCTAGCATCCTCGACCTGTTACTGGTGGAAGGTATCCGAGTTCCCGGTGGCGAATACATACCCAACTGAAACAACCTCAATTCTTGCCTCCTCAGAAGAAAGACTTTGACTGACGGTCACAAGGTAGATACCAGATAGAGGCAAGTTGCAAAGCAGGAGTAAAATTTTATTAAAAAGCAGTCCAGGAACAGGCGTGGTAGCTCATGCCTGTAATCCCAGTACTTTGGGAGGCTGAGTCGGGTGGATCACCTGAGATCAGGAGTTCGAGACCAGCCTGGCCAACATGGTGAAACCATGTCTCTACTAAAAATACAAAAATTAGCTGGGCGTGATGGTGAGTGCCTGTAATCCCAGCTACTTGGGAGGCTGAGGCAGGAGAATCTCTTGAACCTGGGAGGTGGAGATTGCAGTGAGCTGAGATTGAGCCACTGCACTCCAGCCTGGGCTATAGAGTGAGACAGTATAAAAAAAATGGTGTGAACCTGGGCGGTGGAGCTTGCAGTGAGCAAAGATCATGCCACTGCGCTCCAGCATGGGCAACAGCGAGACTCTGTTGAAAGAAAGAAAGAAGGAAAGAAAGAAAGAAAGAAGAAAGAAAGGAAGGAAGGAAGGAAGGAAGGAAGGAAGGAAGGAAGGAAGGAAGGAGAAAAGAGAAAGAAAAGAAAGTCATTACTTAGTAACTGCTTTATTTATAAATATAATTTGATATTCGATTCATCTTACTTTTCCACCTCTATCTGCTGGTACATTCTTAAGGCTGAACTACACTGGAAGTAAAAATATGCCTTGGGACCAGGCATGATGGCCCATGCCTGTCATCTCAGCACTTTCGGAGGCCGAAGGGGGAGGATTGCTTGAGCCTAGGAGTTCAAGAGCAGCCTGGGAAATATAGCAAGACCCCATCTCTACAAAAACTACAAAAATTAGCCAAGCATGGTGGCACACACTGGGGGTCCCAGCTACTTGGGAGGCTGAGGTGGGAGGACTGCTTGAGCCCCGGAGGTCAAAGCTTTAGTGAGCTGTGTTTGCATCACTGCACTCCAGCCTGGGTGACAGAGCGAGACACTATCATAAGTAAATTTATGTATGTATGTATGTATGTATGTTTGTATGTATGCATGTATAATGAAATTAAACCTAGCTGGGCATGGCAGCTCTGGTCTGTAATCCCAGCACTTTGGGAGGTCAAGGTAGGAGAATCACTTGAGCCCAGGAGTTCAAGACCAGCCTAGGCAACACAGTGAGACCCAGTCTCTACAAAAAGTTTAAATATTAGCCAGGTGTGGTGACGCATGCCTGTGGTTCCAGCCACTTCGGGGGCTGAGGAGGGAGGATCATTTGAGCCCAGGAGGTTGAGCAATGAGCTGTGATTATGCCACTGCACTCCAGCCTGGGCAACAGAGTAAGGGTGTATCAAAAAAAAAATTTTTCATTAAACTAAATAAATTCAGCTATTCTAGTCATATATCAAGACCTCAATAGCCACATGTAACTAGTGGCCACCATTTCACACAGTGCATATATGGGGCATTTCTGTCATTGCAAGGGTTCTTTTTTGAAACAAGGTCTCACTCTGTCCCCCAGGTGGGAGAACAGTGGTGCAATCGTGGCAGACGGCAGCCGTGACCTACTGGGCTCAAACGATTCTCCCACCTCTGCGTCCCAAGTAGCTGGGACTACAGGCAAGCACAACCATAACCAACTAATTTTATTTTTTATTTTTCTTATTTCTTTGAGATGGAGTCTCACTCTGTCACCCAGACTGGAGTGCAGTGACATGATCTTGACTCACTACAACCTCTGCCTCCCTGGTTCAAGCAGTTCTCCTGCTTCAGCCTCCTGAGAAGCTGGGATTACAGGCGCACACCACAACACCCAGCTAATTTTTGTATTTTCTTAGTAGAGATGAGGTTTCACCATGTTGGTCAGGTTGGACTCGAACTCCTGACCTCATGATCCACCCACCTCAGCCTCCCAAAATGCTGGGATTACAGGTGTCAGCCACCTTGCCTGGCCACAACTAATCTTAAATTTTTTGTAGAGATGGGGTCTATGTTGTGCAGACTGGTCTCAAACTCCTGGACTCAAGAGAGCCTCTGATCTCAGTCCCCCAAAGTGCTAGCATTCCAGGTGTGAGCCACCGCACCCAGCACTGCAGAACCCAGGTCTATCAGTGCTGACCTAGAACCTCTCAAGAGTTTCTGAAGAATTCAGAACTGGGGCCAGGCATAGTGGCCCATGCCTGTAATTCCAGCACTTTGGGAGGCCAAGGCAGGTGGATCACTTGAGGTCAAAAGATCAAGACCAGCCTGACCAACATGGTGAAACCTCACCTCTACTAAAAAAAAAAAAAAAGATTAGGAGAACGTGGTGGTACATACCTGTAATCCAAGTTACTTGGGAGGCCGA